CACGCACACGCACACGCACACGCACACGCACACCCACTCACACACACACACACACACACACAACACACAACACACAACACACGATATCCCTTATGTGCTGGCCGGATACAGTTTCCGATCTAACACCCACTCAAGGTGCGCATGGTTGGTGTCATATAGTGCCGCGCGGCAGGAGCGAACCTGTGCCTGGGTCCAGTTCACTTCGATCACATGGCACTATTTTCTCTTGGATCCGTATTAAATGAAGCTCACAAGTTCGCATCCCTCTTCGAGATTGTCCCTTTCTCTTCAGACCAAAAGAAGGTCAAGGGGCAATGGCTGCCTAGGCATGGACACGGGGTTGGCAAAAAGAAAGTGGCACCGTGTTGCTCGGGGCGGTTTAGGCATGGGCGACTGGTGCAAGAACCAGTTCGGCTGGGACGCCAAGACCCAGACAGCGAAGCCCGGAAAGTTGGCGGATCAGGCTCCGCGCTCCGCGCTCCGCGCGGCGTTGTTGGGCCAAGGCCGCGCCCACAGCGAGCAGAAGAAAACCGCCGTATTCTTCCATTTGCTTTGTATTTTGTTATTCTCCCCAGGAGATTTTCCCCTGTTGGTTTAAAGGGAATCTAGCACTGCTGGAAATTTTTGATTCTTTCAAGGGGACTGGAGCAAATGGAGGTATTGATGCCTGGAGTCTCCATGACCCTTTAAACAAACGGATCACGGCGCCTTTCTCTGGAGTAAGGATGGCTCCAGGTTTCAAGGGTCATGGAGACAGGTACTCTAGATATCTACCGGGGGTTTATCCTTGGGCTTTGCATTGGACGTTTGCCAGGCCATGTTTTTAGCCGTGGTCTTGCAAGGGTTATGTGGCCATGTGTGCAGCGAATCCACCCGTTGCAAGGGGCACTCCGGGGGTTGTCAAAAGAAGAGGGGAAGTCGCTTTGGGCTCTTTCACTTTCCGCGCAAAGCGCCATTTGGTCTGACAATTGCCGGGACGCTTGTTTGGATGTTGTTGTTGTTTTTTTGCCTTTTTTAATGGGAGGCCTGCAAGAAAACAAGCATTTGTGGGGGTGCCTTGTTTTGAGTCACCGCCATGTTCAACAGATCCTGGTGTTCTGTCCTGTTCAACCAGACCTACTGTGTAGGCGTGTTTTTTTTGGCGTCCAGATGTGGTGATGCACGTTCGGGAGCGCGCACTTGATGGCCTGCCGCCGATCATTGAATGAATATTCACCGTATTCATCAAACTCTATGTTTCGGTATGTCTTGGGCCTAGGTTGGATGAAGAGTGTTCTGGGCTGAAGCGTGTTTCGAACCTCTCTGTACACTGACTAGTAGTGCTGCGGCGAGAGTGGTTGATTGGCAGGTGCCTTGTTCACAGTCAAACAGTTGAATGGGCGGTTGGGCACAGAGACAGAGACAGAGACACAGGCACTCAGCCACATACAGACAGACAGTCAGGCAGGCAGAGCGGGTGAACACGCGCGCGCGTCGGGCGACTTATCAACTTATTGTCAGCCAGGTTTGGATTCTGTCGCTTGATGCAGGGACATCCACAACACTGCATGCGGAGCACTTCAAAGTCATGTTGCCATGTGACATGCACCATGGTCAAAAGACCCTTCAATCAACTTAGGGTTGGTAGGGATGGTCATCAGTCCCTTAGGGGTTTTAGACCACCAATGTAAAGGTGCCTACTAAGGTCACGATGACTATGGTATTTTGGGTAACCAGGAATGTCAACTTGGGATGAAGTGCTAAGGGTGGTTTTTGCCGAGCGCGGTCTCCCTGTTTGGTGGGAACTAGATTTGAAGTTGACATTGCTGAAGTTGCGAGCGTGGGGCATTCCGGAACTTCCGCAGGAGGTTTGCCAAAGTCCCGGCATCTGGCAGGAGCTTGGCCCATCCGGTCGGTTGTTCTGTGGCTGGCTTCGGTGACAGCGTTCAGTGCCTGAAGCTCGCAGGTCAGAAAGTCCACCATTCGGCTGGAGGAGGTGGATCAGGTGCTCCATGAGTTTGTGTCCACGCATCTGGGCCGACTCCGATTTTTTGGGGCTTGGCGGGCTGACCAAGGAGTAGGCGCCCAGGCACTGCTCCTGCCCGGTGACAGTTGGCAAACGTTTGTTCCTGAAGTAAGGGTTTTGAGTGGAACATCACAGATGGGGGCAAAAGGGGTCCAAAGCTTGCCCAGGAATCAAACTTGATTGTGCAGGCGTCTCGTTTCTTGTTGTGGAAGTACGTGCTGATCTTTTTGCGCCTGCGAGGCCAAACGCCCTCGGCGGCTTCTTTGTTGTGTCTTTCCCAGTTTCATGAACCCCAGTTGGACGGATCAGCATAGGCTCAGTTGATCCCATGACTCAAACTTCCGACCGAGGACTCTGCGCATTTCTACATGGAGCTACCAATGTTGACCCACAACACAGGGTCAGGCCTATCAGGATATCCCTTTGTCGGCAACTAGACGTGACATGCGTGGGGCTCCATAAGCTGCTTGTCAAGACGTCGAACAGCCCATCCCGTCTCAGTATTGTACACACCTTACAACCGTTACAAGTACATGGCCTCTTCCTGGAGAATAATTCACTACGGGAAAAGGTGCATTGTGCGCGACAAAGGACCCATCTCGAATCCAATCAGAATCAGTGATTCTAACAGAAACAAGAAACCCAAGGTCGTCCCCGGAGTCCCACACATCTCAACCGTGGCAATCTGTTTTGATATGGCCGTTCATGCCACCAAGCGGTTGGGTGTGCTCAACAAAATACCAGTTCCTCGTTGTTGTTTTTTGCCGGGGAAGGTTCTGAGGATCTAATCATCAAACATGTATATATATATATATGTAACATGCCTTTTCTACAAGAATGGTCGTGGAATTGGTCTCAATCCCAGCTTTTTGCGTGTGAAGGAGCAAGGTTTTCAGCGCCCGGGGTGCGAATTGGCGCCTGAGGCACGTGCGGCCTGGGGGTGGCATGTTGGCAGGAAACACGGCCCGGAGCCCTGGCCCTGGGCGACGTCTTCTGTGAGGTTTGGGATTTTTGCACATAGAAAATCCATGGGTCATTGCCAGGGGGGTCGAGCGCACCGGGCAGCATTGATCACGTGATGGTTGGTTATGGTGACCCAGGGTTTCATAACAGGGGGCCTATTTTGGAGGGAAACCTTCATTTTTTGAGGTGAATTGATCCGGGGTCAACATGAAGTTTGAGGGCTCGTCCCTGCCATCCAAAAGATAGGAGGCTCTAGAGACTTTTGGCGGACGGCTTGCGCAAAGCAGTGCTGCAGTTGAACTGTCTTGCAGCTCGCGGCAGGCTTTGCTTTCACAGATACCGCAGATGTGGGATGAATATGTAACTGGAGGAATGGACTATGGATACAAGTCATAACGAACTCATCCGTGGGTACGAGAGCTTGCCCATGAAGGTGCCAAATATCTAGCGATCCATATTCCGGGGAAATCATAGCGACCTCATGGCTTTGGTTTGAAAGTTTGTGACTGCAATCAATGCGACCGTGTGTGTTTCTCGCAGCTCATCCAAAATCTTGGCAGCTGTCTCTGTTGAAGCTGCTGAAAGGTACGCGGCTCTGGCCTCCGGCGGTTTGCCGTGTTTTTTTTTTTTTTTTCAGGTGTCTCCATGTACGCGAACAAGGAGCAACTGTTTTGTTTCCCTGTTTTGCCTACTGAAGGGTTTTGGAGAAGCCCCCATTCTTGAGGTACCCTTGAACACCTTACCTTTTGGGCGGACTTCAACGGGAAGCCAACATCAGATCCATGTCGAGGGGTCCGCGGTCGAAGTGAGAAGTTCTCAGGACACTGGTTTCGCACAGGATCCCTCGTGGGCGTGTCTTTGGCTCTTTTTTTTAGGCGACCCCCCACATTGGTGCCTGTCCTTTCGGTGTTCCTTCAAAACCACCGAAAAAGGGGCATCCTCCAAGAAAGACTCACCCATTGCGGGGTTTTCAGCATTTGCTGTGAGGGGGACCGGAATGAATGAGGTCTGGAATGGTGGGCTTTGTGTCTTTCTTATTGATTCATGTATGCCACCATTTAAGAGGGTCGCTGAACTCTGACCCTGTTTTGTTTCTAGGCAGGGGAGAGAGATGGGGCATGCATTTGGGGTGTCACTTCTAAGTCCACCTCCTTAACCAAACTTTGGCTGTCCCAACAGTAGTTGACTGTTCGACATGACCTTTTCCTACGGCTTTCCGGATCAGGTTCACATGGACAAGCGATTTCTCGACAAGTTCTGCCCCAAGTTCATGGGCACACTGCACTATCGCATCGTTGACGTCAGCACTGTGAAGGAGCCGCCTTCGTTGCGTTTTTTTTTGATTCATTGATTGGGCTGTTCAAAGGCAATCCGCAAGATTTTGGGGTTGCAAAAGGGGCAAACAGCAGTGGTTGTCCAATAATTAGGAGTTGCGGATTAGGATCGGCCACACGATTTTGACCAGCCCAGGAACGTTGGTCCAATCCAAGAATAATCGTGAGTCGCCCACGTTTTTTGGCATGCCGTTTTGTGAGGGTACAAGAGGGGCTGTTTGCCCCACCATTTCCGCATAAAACCGGGCCCCCTTTTTTGCCACACACTATGGATGATGTCGGGTAGTTGGTTTCCTTCTGGCACCAGTTAGATTTCCTGTTGTCGTTTTGGCATTTTCGGTTTCCAAAAGGGCATGTCGCCTCCGAACAAGCCGCCCCACTTCTTTTGGCAAGGAGCTGTGCCGTCGCTGGGCTCCGGATCACTTTCGCATCCCGGCGACACAGGGCTGATTTGACCGGGGTTTCGGGGTGGGGGCGGGTCTCTATTGATACATGTGTTGTGGAACATTTGAGGTTTGTGACATATGGGCCAGAATCAACCTGATCTTGTTTGGGGCAGAAGCTCGGGTAGTCTTCAGTTAAAACAACATACTTTGGGCTAGTTCAAAGGGAGCTTTCCCTTGGGTGCGGGAAATACGGGGATAGCCCTGTTTGAACAGGATGCAAAGAATGTTCGGGCCCCCCTTTATTATTTATGAGGAGATTCACTCGTTGCTGACTATCAAGGTATGCGGATGCAGGATGGAGAAATACCAGGCTTATTGCACAACAACTTGCCTTGGAGAGGTTGCACCCTCCTTTCACGGCCGCGGAACTAGTCAGGTACTATTTTAGGGGAGCTACCATTGGTCTGCAGGGGTCCATGACCTGGTGAATTGTCGTCCACTGCGAGCATGAATCCTGGTGAGTTCTGGGTGTCCGCCGGGATAGAACTTGGGCATGTATCGGAGTTGATAGGATTGCCCCCAGCTCACACCCTCTGACTCCGTGCTTTGGGGGAAATTAAAGAGGCCGCTACTCCCCTACAAATCAACATGTAACCCAAAAAGGGGGTTCCCCCGAACAGAGTTTCCTCTACAAATTGTGATTATGTGGGCTTCATGAAATCTGCAGTAGGGGAGTAGTTGATTTGTAGGGGAGGAATCTTATAGCGGCATTCCCATTTTTCGAATTGTAAACCCTCGCAGCTTTGGATTGAGCCGTGGCAAAAGCGTCAACCCCCAAGAAAACACCCCACCAAAATTGGGCAACGGGAACCCCCTTCAAGCCATCCTGCAAAGGGTACCCTCGAAAAACAACACCCTATAGCCATTTTTTTAGCAAACCAAGATCCAGAGTTTCCAAGCCAGTTGAGCAGACAAAATGACTCCAATGGCTGAAGCATCCCCTATTTCTAGCCATTTCTGCTAGGATTTGAGAAAGTTTCGGTGCAAAAGGATGGTTTCGAAGCAGAGACCAAAAGGACACCAACCAGCTCTAGCCAATCCTGAGCTTTTCTGTGCCTCTAACAGAACCCCCTCCATGTGTGCGTCCCGATTTTGGAGGCCTCCTTTTGAAAAAAAATCTTCAAAAAACCCCGATCTCGCACGATTCGACCCATCTCCAGTGTCTTCCAGTTGCCCCGCTTCGCCGTATCTTTTTTCGTGGCCGAGGGAAGGGAATTGTTTGAAAAACAAAGTTGTTATCACACCCGAAACCCCAACCCCAAACCAAAGGTTCTTGTTTTGTGCTTGTTTTGTTTGGCGGCAAAGGCTCTTCACACATGGCCAGTCCGTTTTCCCAGTGGCCTCTCTCGTTCATGGGCTTGGTCAAAATACCCATTGCTTTAGAGTCGGAGATGGGGCATGGGGGCCGAGCTCTAGATTTCGCGCAACATAGAGGGACTCGCATTTTTTCTCATGTTCTCCAAACCTGCGTAGTTTTGACCGGGCTCCGCATGCAGCCCCACCCATCCGCGGAACCTGCACTGTAGGCAGGGCCCCGGTGAAGAGGTGCCAGCATCGGGCGATGGAGGACATCTATGAGAGCCTCAAGGCGAGTTCGCCAGGGTCCAGGTCTAGTCGTGCGGGATGTGTGTTTTCTTCTGCCAATTTGTTTGGGTGGTTTGAAGGGAGCCAAAGTGCAACAACCCATCAGCAAGGTCTTCCTATTTTGCAAAACACCGCCAGATCAGAGTTGGGTGGCAGAAGATGGCACAATTCCCAAATTAGGATCTGATCATCCCTGCTTGCCGACAGAAAGGGCATTTACTTAGCCACCGTACCAACTTTCAGCCCGGTGTAATAGGTTTGGTCCCAAAAAAGCGAAGGACTCCCTGAGATGTTTTTTCTCATGGGACACCTAGCACTCGGCACTCCTGCTGCCATTTGCTTGGCAGCTCAACACGGCCCCCGCCAGCTCGGGGTTCTGAACATGCTGGGTTCTTGGTCTAAAGAGTCCAAGAGGCCAGAGGGGCACCCTTGCGAAGCAACCTTGACTCGTGCATTTGTTGAAAAGGGAACTAGGTGAGATCTTCAAACGGTTCCGGTGAAGAGAATGGGAATCGACCCTTAGTGCAGAGGCATTTCCTTTTCAAGTCACTTCGGTTCGAAGTGGATTCCGCTGGTTTTCAATTTGATTTTCATTTGCCAGCTCGTGCAAAAGAACATCTGCAGGCGAAAAGACCCTATATTAGTATGACTTAGGCCTTTGAAGTATCACTCGGGCCAACACGGGCATATTTTAAATGAAGGTCCCTGAGTGGGAGTCCTCGTTTCCTGATGTTTCAAGGGCGGTGAAGGCGCGCCAATCGGCAGGAGTGCTTCGCGTAGGGAATGGGACGTATTGCTCTTGCAGAGCCTTCATAGCCACCAAGATTCAGTCACAAAGGGTATGGCATTGGGTACAGGGAATTGCGTATGTCGTTGGGGGAACGGATATTTAAGATGTCTATCAGCTTGCGAATTTTGACAAAGATTGATGCCAGAAGTGGTTGCCTTGGCTGGACCTTCGCTTCCCTCACCAATCACAGGCGAAATTTGCAAAGTACCACGGTGCATTTCAGGCTTCACCCAAAGGGCCAGACAACCAAGAAAGCACAAGCAACATGGCGCTTTTGGTGCCGATGATTTGAGGGCCAATTTTTACAAATGAATGGGGGGGTAACCCCCGAAACAGGATGCCGCTCTTGAAAAGAACGGTTGTTGAAAAGAATGGGGAATCAACCCCTAGAAAAATGGCAGAATTCCATTGTTCGCCCAAAGGGCCGTAAGGGTACCTTAGGCGAGCACCCGGATTTCCCGATCTTCGCTCGGTACCCTCTCTAGCTTTGCAAGTTGGGAGGGCTGCCGAATCGCTTCTGAGACGCACGGACCTTCCAACTTGGTGACACAAACATGTAGGGTGCAACCCGTTACCAAGCCAAATACAGCTTGGACTTATGAATCTGGATGCTGAACAGGGAGGCTGGAACAATTAAACCAGCTGTTTCCCCTGGGGTTCTGATGGTTTTCTGAAGCGAAGGATCCCTGGAAAGGATGGAAATGGAAGGTAGCCGTGGATTTTTTTGCCACACCTGGCTCTCAGCTCACTGCCAGGAGTTGGAGCACTACCAACAGGCAGGGTATTTTGAGAGGCCCCTTTCAAAGCCATGGGCTATGCTGCCGGTTTTTAAAACTCGGCCTGACGCATCCAGCGAGGTGTCGTTTGAAGTGTGATATGGTCGACCGGTTGATTGGCTGCAAGGACATGGACATGTGAGCCATGGTCAAATAGCTCTTTTACTGGGTTACTAGGGATGGTCATAGACCCCTCAATAAGTACAAGGGTTTAAGACAACCCCTGTGAGGGTTCCTGTCACAGCCACGATGACCCTCAGGAGTTTGGCCATCAGCGGAACAAGGTACCTCAAAGAGCCCGAAGTGCGCGTGTGCCCGTGCGCGCCGTAGCAACAGCTTCCGGCATGAAGCGGTACTCGTAGAGAGGAAGTCATACTTCTTTTTTTTTCTTAGAGCACAGTGTCCAAGACTAGATTGTAGACTGGACAGCACGATGATCATGTGTTTCTGTTCTTGGCATTGCTGCCCTTTATGTGTCGTGCTGAAAGCCCTTCCAAGTCTTTATGATGTTGCAGTTCCCTCAGCACTCAGCTATGACTCCTTGCCAAAGGCAACTGCTTCTGAACAACGGAAAGTCAAGAGCGACAGGAGTACCGCCCCCCCCGATTTCCAAGAGTGCTTTCAAATCCACAGAGGTCCGCCCCCTCTCAGACTTTCCACCACTAGCTTCATATTGTTGACTATCCCCCAACAATCCATGTATTATATACGAACACTTGACCCTTTTGCGGAGTGTTTGGGATCCCTGGCTTTGTTTATGGCATTCGCTGGTAGCATCATGCCCCTTTTCAGGCCTGCAATCCAGGGTGGTTCTATCACAAAGAACTTGCAACCGTTGAGGTTCCAAGGCAGGCCCTTGGTAAGTTGTGATATAGAGCCTCTAGAGCTTGGTACAATGTCCTGGGTCCTACAAAGCCCAGACTCCTGCATGCCAATGATCTGTCTCCCTGGATGTGCTCGATCCGTTTCAGCTCGTTTATGCTCACTCGTTCGAGCAGCTTGCGTTGTGGGTGGTGTTCCTTTGATAGCCAAATCAAGCATCTCATGCCACCTTCTGCCTTCAGCTTTGCAAGGCGTCACATTGCCTCCTTGGCAAAAGGTATCTGTTGCCGTTTAGTTCAGCTACACAGATTTGATGAGGTTGGTTACCGAGCAAATTTGGCATGTGTTTACACTTACAGGCTTGTTTGTGTCCCCCTTCGCCCACTTTTTCAGACTTTGGATCAATGAACAGACTTGCGCAATGTTTGCCAACTTACTGGCGGTTTCAACCCTACTGTGCATGGACACAATAATTCTCCGATATTCATAGGGCTTCGTTCATCTCAACTGGTGCGTGGATTTGGCCTCCACAGTATGTGGGGCAACTGGCTCGGCCAGGCCATGTGGCGCTGAGCGCGAAGTGGAAAAGCGGCATGCGGTTGCTGAGGTTCTTTTGTATCCCTTGAGGTCAATGGCATCTCTTGTTTCCCTTCAAAAGAGCTTCTTTAGCTGAAGGTCGCCATTTGACACCCGGTTGCCCAATAGCACCTCTGGAAGGAATCTCCTTTACAAACAGCCACGCCCTATTTTTTCCAATGGCCACTAAGCTTCTGCAACGTACGTACGTACGTTAACGTTTGTGTATAATAATATGTTTATATGTCTTCATTCATTGATTTAGCTATTTGTTTGCTTATGTATTGTTGTTGTTCTAAGTTGTGTGTTTGCGTGTTGGTTTGTTTGTTTGTTTGTTTGTTTGTTTGTTTGTTTGTTTGTTTGTTTGTTTAATGTGTATGCATATGTGCATATATATAGATATTATGTAGACATACACGTGTTTGTTGAAGGCTGCGTCTGACAGTTCGGATGGGGGTGACAGAGGGACCACCAGACACCCATATACATATTCATACGTACTGATAATTACTGATACATGTCATGTATACGTGAGATCTGTATGACATTGCGTATTCCTCCCATTGCATATGACGTATGACATGATGGTTCGGCTCAGGTGATTAGATGGTTGCATAGTCAAAGGCCACTTGCCACAATACCGCCTTGTAAAACATGGCTCGAATTCATTGTGCATCCTTTCAGGCTAGCCTTTCCCGAGACTAACTTTGAATGGCTGGAAACATTGTGCTGGCTGGATCAAATGGGTTGTACATTGATGTGGCTGGTTTTTGTTTTGTTGTTGTTTTAGGTAAACAAAAAACAACACACACACACAAAGAAAGAAACACACAGGACACCTAAGGCAACACACTTCCCGTCAAGCCGCATATATTGACTCCCAGCCATTGGAGCTGATGTTTATGAGGCTTTGGTCAAGATATGTTGCTCTCTCGCAGGGGGGCATCAAAGCCCATGAGAACTGCAATGGTTGTTTCTAGAATCCGAATTGGACCCCCCAGAAATGGCATAGGTCGTTTTTTCTTCTTTTGGTTTGCCTTTAGACTTCCAGGATCAAAAGGGTATACTTTCGCACCATCCTGGCTGGGTTGACCTTCGGCCCGCCGGCTGAGGAGTGGCTACTGGACGGTCGGGCACATGTGGATGTGCCGGAGGACCAGGCGGGTCCGAAGCAAACTGATCACAGCAGACAGAGTTGCTATGGCTAGTTGGTATCGGATCTTTGGACTTGAACTGTTTGGTTGCACCAGGTCGGATTTTCCGAATTGGGCCAACAAGCAGTTAAGCACATTTTGCAGAGGGGTCAACAGCAACCAAGTGGGGGGGGGGAGAGGGGTTCTCATTTGTTTCGCCACACCAGCAAGGGGAAGCCCTGAATTTCATAGCACCCGCCAAGACGGTGGGTGGTTGCATCAGTCCTTTTGTAGATCATCCCCGCCTGGGTGTCAAGGTTTCCCCTCGAGTTTCAGATGAGCCGCAATTCAAACCCGGGTAGATGAAGGTTAGTAAGGGACACTCCCAGCCATAAATAGTTGCGGCCGCCTTTGTGTTGCCTTACATGGTTCTGGGTCAACCATTTTAATACCAGGTTTTGATTGTGACTCAGATGTTGTCGATTCGCACAGGGGGGACTTAGCTAAGTCTGGCGCAGGGTTGCTCAGCTCAAAACAAGGACCTGTTGCCACTTTGTTTTACCCTGGTGAAGAGTTCCCCTTTTGTTTCCCTCTTCCAATCTTGCGATCTTGCTCCCTTGAAGCCTGAAACCTGAAACTGCAATGCTCCTCAGGGAGTTTGGTTGAACGACCCCGAGCCTCACAAATGGATCTGGGTATTCAGCTACGGTCCCTCAGGTTTGGGCCGCCATTCTTTGCGCGAGAAGCCATTTACAGCCTTGGATCCGTTTTCCGAGCAGAAGGATTTCCACCACCCACCAAGTGTAAATCGGCATGATTCCCTCAGCAACCATTTTCTGGTTTCTCGGCGTCCTTAATGGACTGACCCCGAAGTGTCACCTTCGTTTTTGGGATCAGAGGTTCATTCCCAGGTGCAGACCGTTTTTTGGTGGCTTGGATTGGTTTGGATTTGGATTTCACCGGGGTGCATGGAAAGCCACCCCGATTTCACCTCCAAACCACCAGGCGAGGACTATTTCACCCGTGAGACCTGGGGATTCTTCAGGTGGGCATGCCCGGGGACAAGTACTTGGTCACCTTCCGGCGCGGGCCTTGAGGTCAATCAATGGCTTGCTGGTGCGTAGGTAGGAAAGCCGAGTCCGGTTGAATCGTTTCGGGAGTCCCTTGAAAGAAGCCATAGGTTGGATGGGTTTTACGGGGTCATCCCCTCATTCCTTGCTGAGAACCAGCGAGATGGGGGGGTGGTTTGGGGAAAAGACGTAGGACCTGGAGATGGAAGTCGTGGTGCTTTGGGGGATGCCCATTCCCTTTTGGCTTTGGGAGGAGCAGGGGTGCAAATCGCGAGCCACCAATCGATTCAAGGAATTTACCAGAGACAAGGGGTCGCTGTGGACAGAAAGGCCACCTGTTTCACCAGCCTATGCTGATCCAGCATTTTCGCGGTTCAATGTCCAATGGGCCGGACTCAGAACAGATTAAATTTGGGACAGTAGCCATACTTTGCTTCGGCATCTTGAGCTCTTTTGGTGCTTTAAGACGGGGTTTGGGTAGACTGGTTGCTCCATGTTTTGACGTATGGCCGACCTGAAGGAGGCTTCCTGAATGCGTGGACTGCACCCCACACGGCTTCCCAGGTTTCCGTCCTTGAAAAGGGATTGTAGTTTGGGCACCTGCCAGGGTGGTAAGCACCCCGGTTTTGACTTTGACCCATCGGGGCCGACATCGAGTTCGAGTGCAGATGTTAGATGCGAGCCGATGTGCCGATGTGCCGGGTGGAAGCCCCAAGGGATGGTTCAGGGTTCCCGCAGAGCCAAAGCATCCCAAAAACTGCTGGAACGGTTATGGAGCCGCGCGCCAAAGCCAGGATTGGACCAGATGGCATTCGTCGGTTGTAAGGGAGAGGGATCATGGTGAGGCCTATATATTCATCGATACATGGCTGCGTCCTTGAAGTTGAATTAGGAGGGATTCCTTCATGTGGGTAGTTCCCTTGCTTTGAGATGACCCCAGGTGTGATAATCCTGTTAGGACCAGATGGCAATGGTTTTGGGCGCTCAAGTAGTGGTGATCCTTCAATTGGAGCCTGGACAAAACCCGCACATGCTCCCGATCGCGTCGAGCCTCAATGTGTCCCCTGGTTTTTGTGGACTGTTGCTCATTGACACCCCTTGTTTCCCTTTTAGTGTAGTAGGTTCCCCACTGCGAAATGTGAAGCCCGACAAGGTTCGCTGGTCAAGTGGTGTCCCCTGCCAGAGATCCAAGTTCCAAGTCAATCCAAGCTCCAAGTCAACGTGCGGTTTTCATTGAGTGCTGGGACGCAATGTGCTCCATGTCCGTACAGTTCCGCTTCGGTCAACTTGGACAAATATGAACGGACCAATTCCAATTCCAATTCCATTAAATGGAGGCCCGCGGGCCAACTAAGACCGGACTAGACTCACCAGAAGTTCTACGGCGAGTTGCAGCTTCCTTGTTCCTCACTTGCAAAACCTAACCCTTCCAACCAGCCTCGGACCCGACTGGTCCAAACCATGGTTCTTTCAGGGTCTGGGGTCTCCAAAGTTATGTTTGTATTCCGAGGACCAAATATTAACCAGACTTTGAGCAGTTTTTTTGGGGGCGTTCTTTGGTTGGATGGGTGATTTCGGGATTTGAGTTGTTTTGGAACCCCTGGTTCTTGCAGAAGCTACAACTAGAGGCTTGTGACAGGATCTGTTCGGCCCATGAGCCGACCAGGTGGGAGAAATACAAAGAGCTCACCTGGGAGAAGCTGTCTGAGACCGGTCCCGTAGAGCCAGGCTAGGGATGTGGATGGGGGTAACATGCGTCAGCCAGGGACATTCGGAGCAACCCGCCTGTTTGGCAACTGTCCATTGAGGCAACTGTTGCTTATAAACAACCTCCTTTTAGTTCCCTTGAAGGGGTGCTTTCCCGCGTGAATGGAGCTTAGATAGCCAAGCAGTGTTTTCTTTTTTCCGACACTTTGCCCTAAACACATTCGCAGTGAAAGAATGATCAATGTGTGGGGAATGTGTTTTTTCCTTTTTTTTCAATTGTTTAGGTAGAATAGATTATGTATATATATATATATACACTCATACATTGGATGCTTTTGGAATTATCGGCCGATTGCAAGAAATGCATTGTTACATCCCTCCAAAGCATAGGTCAGAGGTGTGCTGTCAGTAGGAAACTCACTGTTCCTTTCAAGGGTGTTGCAAAGTCGAAGCGGTCGCGGGGAAAAGTTCATCTTTTGAGGACTTGTGGCCCTCGAAACAGGTCATCTGCTTCAGGGGTCCCCTTTTGGAAGCGGTTAAGGCAACAAGAAGGAAGCAAACACTGATTTGGGGGACCCCCCATTTTGAGACGATCACATTTTCGCCGGACTCTGAATGTTGTGGAATGGAGCATGCCCATGGGATCCGGAAAAAAAAGAAAAGAAGCCGCGTTTCAGGTTCAGAGGTTTTGGTGGTCACTGGAAGGGCCTGAATAATGAGAATGGGTTGTGAGACAAATGTGAGCATTTCTTTTTGTGTGTTTTCCGGTCTTACTCATTGGTAGCTTCCTGGCCGCCCGGGCATCTTATGGATATGTATGGGTTCAGGCATGGGATGTCTTTTTTCAGGGGGTTTGGCATGGATGGCATGGGTAGTGTCATGGGTGTCACAGGTACGGTCATGGGCATTCCCATGGGTCGGAGAGAAACCACACCGTGATGGCATGCGGCGCCATTGTGCAGCCCGATGATCCAAAGTGGTATCACGGCGCAAGTTGTGGAACGCAGGCCAGCTGATTTATTGACACAGGGAATGGCGGAGTGTATTGCAGGACTTTTTGTGGAGCTCGGCTGGGGAAAGAACATTGCCCCGTTGTCCAGGGCCTCTGCCTGGACTCAACTGCCATTGAACATGGGGCGATAGGTCTGAGGGTCCGAGTTGTTTTTGCTTGGTTTGTTCTGGGAGGGCTCAGAGGTGGACTGGCAGAATTGGCAGCTGCCCGGTACCTCTTGGTGAGCGGGTCACGCAAGTGCCATGCCGCCGCAGATTCTGCGGGCATTTCACGCCGCAGATGGTGCGCGGAATTGGTGAGCCTGCAAGGGCGTGGGGCAGGCAAAGGTGTGAGCGTCTTTTGGGGTTCCCTCTTCACAGAGAAGCCCAAAAGGAAAGCCACCTGACACTCTCCGAAACGGGCAACGCTTCGCAACCCGGGCAATCGCTCCGGAGGCAAGTACTACCTTTGCGGCCCCTGGAGCGGCTGGGATTTCGCGCGGCCCGCAGTCCTTGGGGCATGGGTCACTTTGGCGATGGCCGGTTTTGGTAGCAAGAAAAAGTGCGAGAAGTGGCCAAATTCTGGCTTCAGTTCGGTTTTTATGTTTGGTCGAATCATTTGCCAGTGCCTTCAATTTGTCCAAAGGGACACCTAGGGAGGACATGAAGAGAGGCCAGTCCAACGTCTGAAACACAGTCCGCAAACAATACCAGCGTATGTTCGAGGATCCCTGATGGTATAGCCACATCCCCCGAAGGGAACCGATACGTAGAGGATCTTTATTTGGTAGGTCCCTGGATCTATTCCAAAGAGTCCAAGTGTCAATACTGATGGATTGATACTGGATTAGCCCTAGATTGTACATTGTGGATTACCCTGAAAGTGGTCCGCTGTCGTACCTTTGTATCACGGATGCAATGGCTCAGTGAGCTATGTTCATCGACTTTGTGACATGTAAGGCCTTGAGCCAGTACAGGTTGCGTGGAGATCAATGAGTCCGAAAAACAAACACAGGGGGCAGGCAGCCCCAAAGTGGAGGCCTTCCGTTGGGTTCAAAGAAAGGGTAGTTCAACAACACACGCCCAAATGCAGAGCCTTGAGTTTGAAAAGGTGAGCCTAGTGTTTCCAGAGCCAAACCCGAGACGTCGGGCAAACGTTAGACGCTCGCGGCCCAACGTGGCAATCTTGGTGTGTAGCTGTCGTTTTTTCTGTTTTGGTTTCTGCCACGCTTGGCTGCAGCTGTTGCCTTTGGGAAAGGTTCCAGGATATGTGGATGTCTTTGGGCGCAGAGTCTGCTGGCCTTGCCCAGCAAATCTTCGGAGCGAGGATGCACCACACTGGTGGCTCCATGTTGGACACACATGTGGATGCTAAGTGTTCATTGCTCACCAAGTTGGATGGCCAGGCCCAATCAAAGGGGTGAAAGGAGTGCCAGCAATATAGGTGTGTGTTTTCACGGTACCTGGTATTTGGTGGTTTTAAAGAAAAACGAAAAAGGAAAATCCTTCATTCTGGGGGTCCACGCAATGTAACGACTCTGAATTTGGTTTTGAGACGCCCCACAACCCCATTTGACTTATTTAGGCCCTGATATTTTACCTCGCTTTGTGGGTTCGAAGTGAGGTGGAGATGCAGCCTGACACCACTGGACCCCGGAGGCGCACTGTTTGGCGCGTGGTCTGTGGTATTTTCAGCGGGGTTTTTCTGAATTGACTGACCAGCCAAAGACTGTTTCAAGCTGCCCCAGCCAAATAAACCCCCGATTAGGATCTTGGATTCTTTGTTCTTTGCGAAGCGCAAACCCACCATCCCTGCCCCAAAACCCCCAATCTCCGGGCGCCTTTGTGAATTCAACGTGCATCCTGTTCGGCCATGTGCTGAATGAACTAACCGCTAATTTCCTAGTTTGGGTGGCGCTCTGCCTGCCTACCTGAGTCAAGCTGCGTTGCAGACGTGACGTCTGTCTGTTTTTGTTCTTTGGGTGCGCTCTGCTCCTCCTCATCAGAGTTGCCTCATATGTGCCAGCCAAAGACAATCTACGCAAGGTCTATATGATACATATATATATATATATATATATATATTCATTTATTTATTTATTTATTTATTTATGTATTTATTTATATGCACACACATATATATATATATAGAACTTCTCCGCCTGCACTGATCGCCCAGCCGTTTGTACGAAGGCAGATGACTTGCGCCGGCCTGCGGCCACATGTAATTTGGTTCTTTTACATCGCTGGTGTCCTTCTAGCTTACCTTGACCAACCAAAAGGGGCTTCTTAAGACATCAGATGGGGGTCCCTCAAAATGGATCTGGATTCCTTTTGGTTCTCCACATGCCAACCAGAAGGGGCTCCCCAAAATTCACCCCTCCCACTTCTGGGACTTGCGAGTCAGGAGACGCAAGGGCTGGTATAGCGTGGAGGCAGGGGTCGGAAAAAAAACCGAGTCGAAGGCGGTAGCCTCGGGGCTGATTTTTTTTGTTTTGAGAGCAGCTGTTTCCGTGGCAATGCGATTTCTTCGGTGCATTTTGCCAAGGGATGCTAGTGCGGAATTGTTTGTGCCAACCAATGGGATGTCCCATTAAACCACTAAGAATTAAACTTTCAGCAGGGGAGCAGAAAGCAACCGAGATTTGTGATGGACAAGTGATCAAACAAACCGACCGTATTTTACGGTGCTTTATGGGGGTGGAGTGCTGGGGACTAGGCGAAAACACGTTTCTGCCTTTTTGGGGGACGTCCTTGTCAGGGTACCCTCAGGTTGTTTGGGGATTGGAGGCTTGATGGTTTGCTGGTTTGGAGTTAGATTTGGAGGTCTTGGGAAACCACTCCCCCAAACCTCGTACCAACACAAACCACTAAGGGGAAGCAAAAGGAAAACACACCCCGTAGATCCACCTTTCACACACTTGTATTTTCTTTCGGCTTTACCCTGTTCCAATTTGCCGCACTTTGGGCGCAAGCCTTGGGCCTCAGAATTCCCACGTTTTTTGGTGGGTGAAACATCCAGTGTTGATGGAGCATCCCCGTGCTGGCCATGTTGGACCTCTTTGGCTGGTTTCGCATGAAGGGGAGTTTTTTTAGTTTGGGATGGATGCCTAGCTGTATCTCTGGGCGGTCACTTTGGGTTGCCTCTGAGACTCTGGCCATACTAGCACCAAAGGCGTCCAACCACCAGAGATGAAGTGTCCAGCCACGGTGTCTAACGATTTGGCTAGTCCTTCTTCTAAGGGTTGGTGGACACAAATCCACACAAACATGATGTCTACCTGAGGGTCATATTTGGGTGTTCGGCCAAGTTAGGCACTAATAAGCCTCCACTTGTTATTTGGGGGGGTTATACCTAATTGGCTAACCACTTCCTAGCTTGGCCGATCATCCACCTGCTTAGTTGCTGCGGCAACCGCGTGCGACTCAGGTCCAGGTCTCTTCATTGCCCAGCGAGTTTCTGGTGGTTCGCAACCAGGAGGGGCAAAACCAGGGGAGAGGGGAGGCGTGCCTCCGACGCGGACGCACAATTTCGACCACTCAAGTGGCTTTGCTCTGAAACTATCCCGTATGAGGCTAGACTAAATATCGGTGTTCTGCCAGAAAATGTGTCATATACTTCTGTGATTGTTGCTTTTGTCAGAAGAAAGCACACCTGCCACACCAGAGCCAGCATTGTCCGCACAAAGCGGACTGCCAGCAATACAATTGAGCACCGCAGAGCATCTCTTTACAAGCGACAACCATTGACACTTGAGCAGCCTTGGTTCCAAGGGATTTCCGGCAGATTTATTTACGGATTTCTGAAGTGGTTGGGCTTGGTGCGTGCGGCCATGTTGGGCTTGCGAAGAGTTTGGACTGGGGGCCAATCCACAGTGAGTCGAAATGCCCGGGAGGGCAGTGCGGGGTGCAGGTGAGGGAGTCTCTCCCTATCGGAGGTAAAAGGCCTGGGCATGTCAGCCTTGCATAGGGGTCCTGAACTGGCTTCCCGTTGCCCCCCAACGAGGGCACCCTCAAAAGACCTGGCAGGCTGGAATCGACTCTTTTGTCCGTCCCGATGACCTGATTTTGACTGGTTTTCGGGGTGATCAAACTCAGAGAATGGGAGTATTTCACTTAAACAATACCACTTTGGGGGTGACTTTGACAGTGGTAACAAGTAATGGGGGCAGAACTACAATGCGTCGTTTCCTTTTGGCTTCCCTTTAGAACCACTCTAATGACTTCCTTATGACTTCCTTATGACTTCCTTATGACTTCCTTATGACTTCCCTACCATTTGTCGGTTGCTTATGACTTCCCTTTGGAACCACTCCAACAGAGGTATCCTCCATAGCCACTTGAGATGAGCCGAATGGTCGCAACTTCGAGCCAGGACTTTCGGCAAGCGATCTATCCCCAGGCGCATCGGCCCTCTTTGACATCTTCAACCATGGTCAGATCTACTCAGAGCTGCATTTTGCCAAGGGATGTTAGGACTGCTTCATTTTTTGCCAACTCATGGGTTTTGCGTATTAAACCACTAAAACTTAAACTTCTAGCAGGGCAGAAAGCAACTGAGTACTGGCCTCATTCGTTGCAATTGACACAAGAAGTTCTTTCGAGCACGCCCTTTAGGCGGCGCCATGGGTGAGGCCGCAGTCTGGTGTTCCCATCTCGCTGCCCGTTTCTGAAGGCTAGGTCTTTCAAAAAAAAACGAAAGGACACCACCCTTTTTCAGATCTCTTTCGGCAACGCAACCATTAGGTCACCAATCTTCCATTTGCTTGTGCCTGGACAGAAGAAACATAATTAAATTCCAGTAGTGCATCGATTCCCTTTAAAGCCAATCAAGGGAAAAGAACAAAAACAAACACATCTTTCCAGTGGTGATATCGATTCCCTTTAGAACCAATTCCCTTTAGAACCAATGAAGGGAAAGGAACAAACATATTCATTTCAGCCAACGGAAGCCATGGAACCACCTGGCAAGAACCATCTGCTTCTAGGTCCCCCAGCTAGGTGCCCTTTTACCGTAACTTTTTTGGGAGATTCGGTTCCCCTACCACAACAGACAAACCAGAGAAAAAATCGGGTACCAACTTATTCTAAACTCTCTGGAGGACCTAGATCAGGTAAGAAGACTCTGCTAGCAACCCACGTGTCTGACCTGCGCGAGCCGAGAGAGGCGCCTCCGGCGGCCACGGGGCTGGAGATCTCCCAGCACTCGGCCATGTGTGGCCTGGGGCCTCCGCATACCCGGCTCAACCCCATTTGCTTCCATTATAGTAGAACCGAATCTCCCCCAAAAAAGCTACGGTAAAAGGGCACCTAGCTGGGGGACCTAGTAGCAGATGGTTCTTGCCAGGTGGTTCCATGGCTTCCATGTGCTGAAAGGATTTGTATTTTTTATGTTCCCCTGTTGGTCTTAAAGGGAATTGCTTAAGATGTTGTTTATTATTATTATTATTATTTTATCTATTTTTAAAAGAGAACCTTGTTGGTTTCGACTGGAGTTGATTTCACTACTGGAAACTATTTTTCATTTTTTCCAGGGGTCTTAACCAAATGGAAATCTGAGTCATCAAAACCCGGGTAGATGAAGGTTAGAAGGGACGGTCCCAGGTGAAATCCCTTACATGGTTCTGGGTTCACTGATTGTGTGGACCAGGTTTTGAGTATGGCTCATCTGCATATGGATCGAAAGTAAAAGACCAGGAATTAGACCGCAGGTGTTGTTTTATAGTTGTTTCCAGTTACCAGGGAAACCCATTTTGGGGTCGCCCCATTTGTGACCAACACCCATTAAAAGTTGATCCCCCCCCCCAAACATCAATTCGCAAGGTTTCGTAAGCCGGGTGCGACATGAACTAAGTTACATATCATCCTGTTGTGCCTCGCAAGACAGCCCTGGGGGTCGCCAAGCTGCCAACACAGCACGTTCGGCTAGGGTCCTTGGGCAGCAATGCCAGCAACCAGTATTTTCTGTGTGAGCAGGGGCTGCTAATCTTAGTTGGGCAAATTTTGTGATTCCAGTCTTTAAGAGACAGGTTTGTTCATGTGTCGATAATGGAGCAACAGCAAGAGGGGCCTCATCTAAACAGTGCAGTGTGAGCCCTTTGCACGACAGCAAATCCTGAACACCTTAGATAGTTTGCATGATATCGGAATTACAGGCTCTGGCATGCTTGCTTCTGCGAGTGGGGCAGATGGGCGCATGTCAGGACAAACTCTTGACATGGTTTCCCTTTTGTGGCAAGTAGACAAGAGACACCTGCTCAACCAAGCATTCATGGGAATCCCCGATTCTGGTGGAAATTGCAAATCGTGGCAATTCACTGAGCTAAAAGGAGGGATCGAAGAATGATCCTTGCCAGGACTGAGATCATGTTGGACTCTTTCCAGGTGAGCTGGCTCTTATGCTTTGCGTCCTTCAAAGTTTGCCACAAAATGATGGATACGAGGTTCTCACTTTTTGTTGTTTCCTCGAATCTGAGGTATGTTGACTAGGATGCAACATCAAATGAAGCCATGCAGACGGGCCGACAGTTTCCCTGCCCGCTCTTAGGTCCTGATGATGGCGAAAGCGGGCTGTGGAAGATCCAGGACGGATGCCGTAAGGGGTCGGCAAGGGGCCCCGACCATCTTAGATCTTTGGCCTTGACTACAATGATGGTAAACACTCCCAATGGATCCATTTATCTGTATACCCTCGTAGGCATTTTACTGCACGCGCGTAGGCGCGCGTAGCCACTTTTTGACAGTTGGCGGGGAGCTTCTCGCGTAGGCACCGCGGAGGCTCAACTTGACAGTTTGCCCGTTGAAAGAAAGAAACAAGCAAGAGACATGGGAATGTGCAGAGAGAAGGGCAGATTCAGGCCTCACTTTCTTGTAGGTTGCAGGGTTACCATCCTTTTGCCTACTTGTCTTTGTTGCTTCCACCTGTTGAAAGTGATGATTGGCAGGGTGTGTAGGTTAGTTAGCCCCGTCTTGCTTTCGGCGCTTGTTCTTGAAAACGCAACCGGTTTCCGCGTAGGCCCCGCGTAGGCCCGCGCGTAGGCAGTAGCCCGATTTCGTGGCTCGTCCTCCTTCCAGTGTTTCCGCCTACTTGCGCAGAGCCACCTTGCTCCGGGAGGACGCTCTTCCTTTTGCATGCCCTGTACGCTGCCACAGCTTTGGCTGCCCGCGTGCAACGCACACTTCCGCAGCTTTTGCTCGAAAGTCGAATCTGTTCACTATCTCATGCCGCCTTCCCAGAATCGTGCGAAGGCACATGGCGCAGAAAAGTTTCCCAGTGCTGGCAATGCTGCATGCTGATGGCGCTCGTTCCCTGCTTGCACGTGCTGCCGCCAGGCTCGGCTTTGCAAAAAGCCATTGCCTCCGTTTCTTCTTCTAGTAGCAACCGTCCTCTGATAGCTCGTCCAGCACGCGCTGAAAAGAAGCTTGCTGCTGAGAAAACTGTGTTTGTGCCAGTCAGCGTGCTGTCGTCATCAGCTCGCGAAGTGTCAGCACGAAACGCACACCGCGTAGGCACTTTGAAAGCAAAACTCCAACCGCGTAGGCGCGCGTAAGCGTTTTCAGGCTGACGTACACCTCGCGTAGGCCGCGGCGCTTGGTATTTGCACATGGCGTAGGCGCCGGCGTAGGCGTATGATACGTCATCAGCATTACGTGCCCAAAAAAAACACTGCCCATCTGGTGGCCGGGGGTGTTGTTTTTGTTTTTTGTTCTTTTGTCGTGTCGGGAAGGACCTGCGCAAAAGGCCTTGTCACAACAGGACCTGCGAGGCGCGGTGTACAAGATCTTCTTCTACCGAGACCCGGAGGATTGCGACGCCCAAGTTGCATAGCTGGCGGGAGATTTGGACTTTCAAATGAGTCACATGGCCTGGAAAGGAATGTATGCTCATAAGCATACTTTGGTAATGAAAGGAAACAAAAAAGGAACCCTTTGCTACGTATTGGAAAGAGATCCCTACAACAAGGTTTGCCCCAACCCTAACCAATCGTTTTTTACCCCCCGATTGCAGGGTCCCCCCCCCCCCCACCGCCCGCAAACTACAAAACCTGCCAGAAGGGCGTTCCTTTTTTTCAGTATTCTCAGTCTGTGCTTCAACCCACCACAAAATGCATTTGTCTTTCTACAGTTTGGTTAAATGACCAGGTGTTCAAGCTCACAAAAGGGACCCCCCTTGGGAGGCCAGCCCCCTCATCACGCCCAAAAGTTTGCTCAACCAATCAAACTGATGACATTTAAAGTATTGCTTAGGGGCCAAGAAGGCAAGGACCCAATTGAAGGGGTCAGGAACGGGACGAGGACCGCAGGGGCACCAAAACATGTCAAATTTGGGGGCTTGTCCTTGTCGTGGGGGTGGGGGGGGGGCCTTACAAAGGCTAACCATTAGCTTTGTGTGGACAAACCAAAAGCGACTAGAGGATGACATAGCTTGTCAAAACCCTTTTCTGTTCCCGGCACTGGACCTGTCTGGTTGCTGTTTCGAATCTGCAGCCAGTGTTTTTGTTCAAGGGTCGTTCTTGAAATGCGGTCGGCTAAAGCTTTCGCCGTGGACCAAATGGAACACTCGAGGAAACCCACCTAGCACCTGGGTCCCAGGCTTCAACTCGTTTTGAGACCTCACACATGAAGACTAGGTCCCCCAGTAGTGCCCTTTTACCATTTATTTTTTGGGGAGGGTTCCCCTACTTTCAGACTGTAACCTCTCTACTGGAGGACCTAGAAGATGTCCTTTCAGGGGGGCCCCTGTTATAAAGTCACCCAGCTCAGATGGAACCATGCGTTTGGGTAGTGTCAAAATAGCGGGTCCCTCAAAATGGATGGATTTCGGTTGTTTTCTTCCGCCAAGCTGAAAAAAGGGCACTGTCGAAATTTGCACACAAACAAGTGTTGTTTTCTATATATACATACATTGAATATATACAATTAAATATATATATATATATATATATATATATATACGGCAGCGTCCGGGATCCCGGGTGGTGGCTGAGGAACCCACCTCCATGCGGGTGGACTGGAAGAAGGCAAGGAGCCGCTGGATCCGGGGTGACACCCCGAAGCGTCCGTTTGGCAGGCAGCGAAGGCTACCCCATGGCGTCGTCAAAGGGGAACAACAAGGTCCCCCAGCAATTGGTGCCCTTTCACCGGTCCTTTTTTGGGGGGAGGGTTCCCCACTAAAATAGGCTACAGACAAGAGGGTACCCTTATTCTAAACGCTCGACTTGAGGAGCTAGACAACCCTTTGGGTAAATCCTGGATGTGATTTAGTAGCTAAGGTGCTTGCGGTGCTGGGAAAAGCCAAAAGCTGACCATCCAAAGGCCAGTTCCTTGCGTTGCCCTGTTGGGTTTGCTTTTGTTTCCTCTTCCCGAGACAGAAGGTCCTTGGCAGGGAAGGTGCGGGAATGGATCAAGGAGTCTTTTGGGTCGTACCTTGCGTTCGAAAAGGGGCACCCGTTTGGAAACTTTTGGCTGCCAGGATGAAGGGCAGGACCCCTTGGCGTCAGCGAACTCAGAGTTCATGTCCATAGGGCTTGCTGCCCAAGCCTAGCTGGCTGGACAGAGCCCGAAAAAATCCGAAGACCCACAAAACCCACAGGTCCACATCCAATTTTGGAGGAACCCTTGTTGGTTGTTGCTTTTTGAAGACAAGGCAAACCAAAGGAAAGCCATTTGGAGGAGTTTCGAATGTAGGACATGCCCACGTTTAGGCGAAAGCAGAGCAATCCCGCGGCATGGCCAGCTGTTTTCGGTTGTTTGTTAGAGGACCTGGTAGGAGAATTAGCCATTGTTACATACTTGGGTGTGGGTCAGAAATAGGTACCCAAAAAAGAACCCAAGTAAATCAAAACAAGGACTTGACTGTGGAATACTGTTTGTAGGTTCTAGGAGCCAACGTAAAGCCTCAGCACATTTGCGAGTCTTCAACTTCCGTTCTTGTGGTTTCTCGAAATGGCCTAGCAAGAGTTCACAAATCCCGAATTTCAACGAAACCCAGCTCAGGAGAGACATTTTGATACCCTACTTTCCGGAAAGGGTTTGAGAACCGATCTGAAGAACCCAATAAGGACCCCCTTCCAAGACCCACTTTTCAATCATAAAATGATAAAGATCATGTGTTAAGCCTGAACTTACCATGAAGTGCTAAGCACCTTCGTTGTAGGGTGGGTGGGGTGGGGCCTATGTCTTTTCTCCCTACTCCTTTCCTGCGCAGGTTGAGGAGGAGCGGGAGTATCACGAGCCCGAGGCTGCATATTACGTGAACAGCTCGCGCAGCGCTCGGCCGGGTCAAGAGGTCGATGGAAGTCCCCAGGCCTTAAAAGGAGAGTCCAACGGCCTGGGCAGGTTCCCCTTAGTTGGTGGGAACTTGAAACCAAGGTGAAAAGGGTACCCTAAGGTACAAGTGGTGCAAGATTTCGTCCATCTGGCGCTTTGGATTGGTTTGGATTTGAGTTTGAACCCCTGGTGAGGGTACATGGGAAACCACCCCGGAACACCTCCTGTCCGACAGAAATCCTATTCAACACTGCGACGCTCACAACACTGGAAACACACCGTGCGCTTCCGAAATCCCCCAAATTATGGTGAAAACAATGGGTACCCTTCAATTCCACAGAACGCCCAGGAATGTCTCTTCAGTTTATGGGTAAATCAACCATTGACTGTGGCAAGGAGCGGGGCCCAAATACATAGGATCGCTCGATCTGCCTTCGATTCAGGGTGCAACACCTCGACGTTGCCTGGAGTCCGCATTTCCTGGGCTTGTCAGAGTTGAACCCGTTCGGGGTGAATGGGTTCACTGGTCCATGTTGCGAGTTCCGATTTCCTGTGGGTCTTGGACGTAGCCTGTCCCTCAGCCCGTGACTTTATCCGAAAAGCCCTGGCCGCTGAGGTGCAATGACTTCAGCCACAGGACGGCCATCAAGATGACTTTGGAGGAGGCGAGGGTGCCAAACATTCGACGAGCAAGAAAACAAAAGAGATCATGTTTTTTTTCTGCGGAAAAAGCCGCCCCCAAAAATGGTCTGGAACTAAGAAGGCAGAGCCGTATGGGGCAGTGATAGAAGATGTTGTCCCCTGGATCCTGGTGTCATTTGCAGAAGTTCTAACAGGAATAAACGAGCTCCATGTTGGGCCATTTTCATGGGCATTCCTTACGTGCAGTTTATGAATGTCCATTTAAATAGTGTAGTCTCATTCATGCTGAGAGCCCTGTGCGCAGCTTGTCGTTTCTCGTACGTTCATTGTGAAGATGTTGTGCGGTTTAAGATCCCCAAAGACAGCCTCCGCCGTGTCAAGCTGAACACGAGGATGTGTCTCACATGCGCAGTATGCGGATGGGTCTGGTTGCTGGGCAAACTTTTGCTAAATGATGTTGACCTGGTGAGGGTCCGAGCTTTGTCTCAAATGCATTTATTGTTCTCGTGTTGTCTCTAGCTCTACTTCTATCCATGCATGTCATCTTATATGTTTTCTATCCTAGCTATCTGGCTAATTGTCAACATGCTATCTAGCTATCTATCGATCGATCTATTGATCCATCTATCCAACTGTCTGTATGTAGGTATGTGTTGATTTCGTTCTGTCTTGTGTGTTTGTGATTTATTTGTTTATGTTGTTCTTTAGTTATTTTGTGTGTTCTTGGTCCTTTATTTCTTTAGTTATGTCTTTCTTGCTTTTCTGTTCTACCTTTCCGATATTATCTTGTCTTATCTTATCTTATATGATCTTCTTATGTCGTATTCCATCTTGTCTTGTTATTTTATCATATCCTGTCTAACTAATCAATCAATATACCTACCTACCTACCGACCTAGCTACCGATCTACCAGCCTGCTTACCTAGCTACCTGCCTACCTGCCTACCTACCTGCTACCTACCTACCTACCTACCTACCTACCCTACCTACCTACCTACCTACCTACCAACCTACCTACCTACCTACCTACCTACCTAATCTACCTATCTATGCATATAGTTGCCTATCGATCGATCAATCTATCTGTCCATCTATCCTATCTGTCTGTCTGTCCGTCTGTCCATGTACCTACCTACCTACCTACCTACCTACCTACCTATCTGTCTATCTATCCATCCATCTATCTACTACATCATCCTTTTAGTTTATGTTGTGGTGAGTTCACCCGTGGGTAAAACGAGCTGACTATGAGGTAGGTCCGGTACTTAAAAGTAAGAATCCGAATCATCTTTCTGGCTGTGGAATTCTAGAAGAAACAAACACAGATCAGTGTTCAGGCGACCTGCAATGGGGGGGATCCATAACTTTCTGTGAGCTAAGCCAAACTGGCTCCAAGGTTGCCATTTGCGAAAGAGGACCTGATACACTCCCTCAGACTAACGTGGAAGCTCCCAGAAGGCCTCTGTAAATGGAACCAAGTCTTCCATTTGGGGGTCCTGTTGCTTAAGAATATGTTATATTTCAGTGTTGGTTTTGAAAGTAATCTATCACTACTGGACACATTTTTAATTTGTCCATGGGCTTAAGCAAATGGAATCCAAATGGAAGGTTATTTTTCACGAAGTGAGCGGCGTAGAGGACGGCGAGAAGAAGCTGTACTCCGCGGAGCTTGGGGTCCAGGCCTGGTGTCGTTTGTCGTTGACTTGTTGGCTGGTTCCGTTTTGGCGGCTTGGCCTTGTTGGTTGTGGATTTCTGTTCTCTTGGCTTGCTTTGTTGTTTATCGTTGTTTGCAGGGGACCACTTGTTCAGCACAACGGCCCGCTAAGGCCCTGGGTATTTTTTTTTTTCGCGTGTCCCACTATCAGAGTAGACCGGGGTCCCTATGTTTCCCTTTTTTGGTTTCCCTTGATAGGGGTCTTTTGTTTGTTTTCAGGGGAATTCTACGAAAGGCTCGGCCATTGCATGTGATGTCTAATTGATCCTGATGTGGTAGTGCTGGGTGGGCAGGAAGCGGAGATTGGAAGCTGACGCTGAAATGACCGACCTGCAATAGAGACATCAGGCAGACTGTGGAACACAGACTAGGAAAAGCACGGATGAAATTGGTGGCACCCCTCATCATGGGCAGTTGCGAGGGATCGATCATCAAAAAAGAGAGCACCTGCAGGAAATTCTAAACACAGCAGCTTGTTCTTCAAAGGTTGCTAGGGCATTTCATTGACGCATCCACTTTGACGAATCAGAGGTTCATCAGAAGCTGGTCTTCGTGTTTGAGCCAGAGGTGGGGAGGAAGTGGACATGTCTTCACATTCTCTGTTTGTTGCAGCACTTTCAGCTGAGGCCAACCACTATGGTCACACAAGATGTTAAGGGACACATTTGGATAGCCCAAGCCACTTGGACCCTATTTGGCTGATCGAAAAGAAACCAACGGGAAAACCAAAAGGAACCCAATGGAATCCAATAGCGACTAACAGCAAACCAGTTGGTTGAACGCTCAATCTTGTGTTTGTTGTGAGTGGTTCAAGCATCATCTCTTCATGCTCGAAGCAGTTCCTTGGTTTTCAAATGAGTTGCCTGGGATCTCCAAGCATCTTCTATTGGGGGTCTATGGCACAGAGTCAGAACATATGTTTTTCTAATCCATCTACAGGACACTATCCAGGAAGTTAGCCCAAACCCTTGGGAGTTTTGACAGTATGGGGCTAATGTCCTGGAGATGTTTTGTCTCCAGGAGATGGGTTTCTTCCATTTGCTTAAGAACATGTTTTATTTTCCCCGGTTGGCTTTAAAGGGAATCTATCACTACTCGAAATATATTATTATTTTTCCAGGGGACTGAAGCAAATGGAGGTTTTGATATCATGGGGGCTGGGGAAGAGGGAGGGGAGGGGAGGGAGCCCGAATAAGCCCCCAAACAAGGCTTTATTACGGGCTTAATAAGGGCTTATTTGGGCTCTCTCCCCTCCCCTCCCTCCCCAGCCCCCAGATATGCTCTGTGTCTTTGGCCAAGCCACACCGTCCCTTCGCCTGGCCATGATTCCGCGAGGAGCTGGCGCTGGATCCCAAGAAGCCGACGGAGCGGCAGCGAGGAGGCCTAGTGGCGGACCCCACTCGGTTTGACACGATCCGGGCAGAAAAGGCAAGAGAGGGCCTAAGACTGGCGCTTATTTCAGGTTGACTGGCGCTTTCCGTGTTGGATCCCCTTGAAAGTCATCTGCGGTCATTGGATCAGACACAATGTCACATGGTTGTTGTGAAACGTTTTTTTTTTTTGTTTCAAATGTTTGCTTCGTGTGGTTTAGTGGTTGAAATCCAAATCCACTGAACTGCTGCAATTTGAGAATTTTGGCTCCCGTTCCAAAGTCAACCAAGACAGAGGACCTAAGACCCAAGCTTCTATTTGGGCTGCAAAGACATCTCAGGCGCGTCGCTAGAAAAGAACCCAAACCTCTTTTTTAGTAAAATGTTGATACTTCTCCAATGCTTTCGCAGGTGGATGTTGAAAGGTCAGACACATGGGGAATGTGGTGGGATACGGTGGTTGCAGCGGAATGAATAACAAAAGAACCCCCTAAAAAACACAAATCTATGATCTAAGAATATGGTACTGTGATTTTGCAGGAAAGAGTGTCTCAAAATGTCGGGGATCCCTACAAGTCACCCTCCGGACGACCCCACACTGAAGGGCCTAAGTCCAGGACTCCCATTTCCATTTAGATGAGGTTCGAATCAATGCGCATGGGTTTCACATGGGCCACGTTGCGCCAGTGGCACACATTTGAGCCGCGCCATAAACCCGGATGATAAGCAGTACTACAGAGCACTTCAGCCTCGAAGGCGCCGCGAAAGCAAGCCTGAGGGGAAACAGCACCCGTAAAAGTAAGACGCGCTTTTTACACGAGTTTTTTGGCACTGCTCATTTTGTGGAGAGTCTAAAATGCGTTTTTGGGGTCTCGAACCCTTCTTTCTGGGCACAGCATGATGCCTTGACGGGTCCCACAAAACTTCAGGGTTCTGCGACAGGCTATATAATGAGTCACAGCATGGTAAGCTCTTTAAGATTTGTTAAGCCTTCTTTGCTTGGGGGAAACCAATTTCCCTGGGCCCATGGCGTGCAATCTATCAGACCATTGCCCGGTTAGGAAGGTCGAGAAAAGATGCTGGCTCAAGCGGGTGCTTCAAATGGAGGCAATGTTGTTTCGGTTGAAACATGTTTTTCATCAGACGCACGGTAAGTGGTCGTTTGCAGACCATGGACAAGATATTGCGACCTCGCAAAAAGGGGTTTGCGACCTCGATCATGCCTATCTTGGGTTTAATGCACAAACAAATTTGTCACTGGCTCTTCTTTTCGAAAAAGAAATGCGGCGATATGTCAAAACAAACATTATTTTGCAATTGTAATTTGGATCCCCAACATTTTTTGCGCTTGTAAGTTGGATCCCCTTCACAGATGAATATTGAGAACTCAACCTTGCAAGGAAAAGTTTGTTTGATTTCACAGTCGGATTCGGGACTTCACAGTCTGGTCAGTGTGAGGTTTTCTGAAGAGGGGTCTCCAAAGAGGTTGGTTGCTCTCTGACAAGAGAAACTCACCAAAGAAACTTGTGACGGGCGAGATCATTCCCAAAGTGCCCCACCCTATTTTTTATTTAGACCTTTGTAGCCTCAGGTTGCCCTCCCTTGAACCCGAGGCCCATCATGCCCTTCAACATCTTGGTGCACCGCCTGAAAGACCATTGCATACATCCAGACCAGGACCCGAAGCCGCCAGACCGGGTAATGCGGAGGGCGAAGCAAACGCCCAACTTTTGCTGCCGGAAAGCTGGGCCGAATTGTTTGGATGCATCCGGATGCACCTCTGAAGTCAGCTTATACAAGTAATCAGGAATCGGCATCCGCCATGATGGGAAAAAGAAAGGGCAACCTATATTCGACTCGAGGCATGTACCTCAGTTTTGCCCACAGTTTAGAGCTAGTTTAGCATGGCTTCCGCATGTTCCCTTGTTACTCGGGTTGGTGGCAACCGGGGGTGGGTGGTTTTGTGCCAGTGCTGGTTATGCTGGTGGCTGGTGGTGCTGATAGTGCTGACAGTGTTGGTGCTCTGTTTTGGTTTTGTGGGTTGTTGAATGAATTGTTACTCTGCCTTCCAACATGTTCCTTTGCCAAGCTTCTGCGAAATACTGACCCGATCAAACCACAAGTATTGGCTCTTCCATTTGCACTGTTATTTTTGCCCAGTAAACTACGAGTGGTTCAGCATGAGTCTGCGCACAGTAAAGCGGCTTATCGCAACCTCACAACGGGTTTGCGGCTTCCATGCTTTATTCTCAGGTCGCTGAATCATCATGGTTCACCCCAGATGTAGTCCACTGGCTGATTTTTTCTTTGACAACATGATCAACTCCGCAACATTTCATTTGTCTTCAGGTGACTTCTAGCGAATGCCGTGCCCTTATTTCAGGTTAACAGCACCGCCGCTTTCCGTGATGTTTGTTGGATCCCCTTGAAAGTCATCTTCGGTCATTGGACATCAAACACAATGTCAGAGACCTTGTCATGTTCCCGCAAGGACCCAGCCCTGAACTTCTGTCTAGATCCTCCAGTAGTGCCCTGTCTCACCCCCTTTTTTGGGGGAGGGTTCCCCTACTATAATAGACCACAGAAAAAAAGAAGAGTGGGTACCAACTTTTTCTAACCTGTTTACTGGACCCATTTGAAACCTTTGGGCCCAAAACTGGACCTGTTTACTGGAGGACCTCGCGTAGTCGGGCGCCGAGCGCGTCGCCGCCCTTCCTTGGGCCCTGAGCAAGGGCCCCGAAAACCGTGCCGAGTTCCCTAAACTCGGAGGTGACATTCGCTGGTTTCCAGAGAAATGAGACATGGAAGGAACCCCTTTTTTCCCATCCCTATGGCTTTTTTTGGGGGGAATCCCCAAAGCTGGGTGAAGCACTCCCAAGACCACTGCTTGTCATTGCCTACTGAGCACCAGACCTACTGTGGATGGACGAGCTCCATTTCGCACCACCCTTCAGAAACCCTGGAAGGATTCCCATGATTCCCCTGTAAATTTGCCCACAAAAACATGTTTTTTTTTTTTTTACACGATGATTCCCCTGTAAATACCAACAAACCGTGTTTCTTTTTTTCCTGGCTTCAACGTGGCGCGAACGAATTTCGACCACATGGAGGCCCCGAAGTACCTGCTTTCCAAGTGGTGCGAACGGATGTCGTCCACATGGAGGCAGCCAGAAGTTTTCCAAAAGCGCGGGTAACGCGGGTGCCAGGAGCTCTGCACCTTAGAGATGGAGCAGACCGTGGCCTTGGACGAGAACTCCAAACACCTCACCTGGTGCATAGGCCGCGGGACAGAAATTCGGGACGCAGGGGACGCATGGGACGCATTCACAGCTAGGTCCCCCAGCCAGGTGCCCTTTCTCACCGTTTCTTTTTTTGGTTGGGAGGGTTCAAGTTCCCCTACTAAAATAGACTACAGAAAAAAAAGGTACCCTTATTCTAACCTCCCTCTGGAGGACCTAGACTCTAGGGTTTCAGCGGGTCACAACCTATGCCTCCATTTTGGGGCGGAACATCCATGTACCACCTATTTTGATGTTCACCAGGGGTACAGAATTGTTTAACCCACAGCCATTTGGGACAGATTTGGGACGCGTTCGAGCAGGGTTTTTCAGCTCGATGTCCCTCTTTGAAATCCGAAAGTGGTAATCAATTTCCATGGAAACCGCCGTGAAGAAAAGAGCCAGTGACATGTGTCATGCGAGAAAAGCCAACGCCGCATTTGTCGAGGTGTCTTGTCTATTTGGGAAGGGCAAGCTGGACGTTTCCCCGCAAAACCAAGAGGCTCACCAGTTCTTCGGGGAAGACTTTGGCTCCCAAGGAGTTGGGGAGGCGAAAGCGGCAAACAAAGAATATGTTCCGCAGGCGAAGGACTCATGTAACCAGTTCTTCGGTACCCTGTTTGAACGTTTGGTGGGTTGGACCCACTAGAAATGGAATCAACCTCAAACCGGCATCCCTTTCTCTACCAGTCTGTGCATGATGATCACGGACTCAGGCACTTCAGACTTCCTTTTCAGGGAATCATGACCACGTTGCACACAAGCAGTTTTGACCATGCTTGCCCCCCCTGTAAGCATTGGATCATGTCGACTCTGTGCAGTCTCAGGATTCACCACGTTCGGCTGGGTACCCCTTGGCCCTTCGATTTGTTTGGTCAAGAAAGATACCCTCCCACCAACTAACATGGCAGTGCACAGACCGACTACTTTCCTCTTGTAAAGGGGGTCTATGCCATGTTAATTAGTTGGTGCGAGGGTACCCTTTATGTGCCTTTTCTCATGTAGTTGATCACCTTTGTTCCGTGGCACTTACGGGTGGTTGGGGTAGGTGATCAAAGGCGCCGGGGGCAAACCAAGAGAAGTCAGTTGCCAGTGGACCCATGGGGTCCCATTTGGTGCCTTTGATCAATTGGGAGAGTCCCCTTGAAGTCAACCAGCAGAACGTGTCCTACAATCAGGGTACACCAAGACTGGCAACGGCTTTCGGTTGGCTTCTACGTGAAACAGCATCGTAATGTACGCCCATTTTCAGACAACACAAGATGCGTGCCATGAGCGATTCGCTCATTTGGCTCGTGTAGGGATGGTCATCAGAATGTAATTTCGTCTCTGCCACAACCAAGATCCGAATTGAGCAAGCAAATTTTAGGGACACAGTGATTGCTGCTTGCATCAGCTGGCGCCAGGAAAGCAGAGCGAGGATGACGCGGCCAAGGGGGATACCTTCTCCATAAGGCTTCGGCGCGCACGCGCATGATATTATGTGAGAGTTGGGTGACCGCTACCAACAGCACCAAGGGGAGTCACCTCTGTGACAAAGATACCGGGCAGTTTTGAAGGTTACGAGTCTAGAGCATTATTGGCGTGACTTGGGGTTTGCAAGTGCTCCACTGTTGTCGGTTCACTAAGTTTACATGCATAGCAATAGCTACATTTCTGAGCAAATGATGTCCACCAAAGGGTTCCTATGATATGTTTGAGCCATTCTAAAGAACACGCTAACCTTGCAAATCACGTGTTAGATATTAGAGAAGGAAACAAGGGGCCAAGTCCGAAAGCAGAAACTCGTGTTGCTTCTTGCTCTCATCCTCTACGCTTTGAGCTTGGAACCTTTTCTGACCCATTGACCCTGGCCACATCAACACCTGATTCATACACACGGAAATGTTTTGTATTCAGGAGATTCCCCCTCCCACTGCTACCGCTACTGCTACTACTACTGCTACTGCTGCTGCTCCTGCTCCTGCTGCTGCTGCTGCTACTACTATTATTGTTATTATCACTGTGGTGATGTGTTATCATGCAGTATTAGTAGAAATATTATTATCATCATTGTTTATTCAGACAAATCGGCTTTTGAACAAGAACCACCTTCATTACAGCCTTGTGATTTCATTAATTTGGGGTTCCCCTTAAGGTGCAGAATACCCTCTCTGAGTGATGAGCTTCTGTTTGCTGCACAGCAAAACGCTGCTTTGGTGCACCATGCCCTTTGCATAGCCGGAAGCGTGCAAATAAGGAACATGAGCCGCTGGTTTGGCGTCAGAACTTCCATCGAACCAACTTCACTGTTTTGTCCTGGGCTTGCATGGTAGTGATTCGCTTGCACAATCTTGCAGAATACAAATTCACAATACCATGCTTGGGTTTCTGAAGGGAAAACACCATGAACCCCGCCATTTGCCCATCTTACCTTGGGGGACAGACAAAATTGCGTTGCCCATGCCCCGCTTCTGGTTTCTTGCCAGGCTGGTGGTCTTCAACGATAACTACTCGGTGTCCTGGAGAAAGGCCGGGTTGGCAGGTGCGCCAGAAAATGCAAGCTGGTGAGCCATCAGAAAGACTGACCCCTCACCCCTACTTTTCACCCATGGTTCTTAGAAGCCAAGACGTAGGTGTTTGGGCATCTGAATAAGTGCCTGACAAGGAGGGATCGAGACTCCGGAGGTTGGAATGGTTGTCTCAAAATTGGAGCACCTTCCCCCCGTGGGCGGTTCAGGGGTGTTTTGAGAGACGCCTATCCGCAGACAGCCGAGGCCCGCATTTGAAGCCTCAGACCCCATGTTCCAGTTTCGAAAACCTGCCACTGGTACCGCAGACCCCGCCTGTTGGTTGCCGCCAATAAAACGAGGAGAAAACAGGGAGCGCGCGGGTTCCTTTGTAAGTGAGAGATTCAAATCACCAAAGTGCAGGGATGTCAGCTCGCTGGTTCTTGACCGGTTCTAGACCTCGGAAGTTTGCCTCTTTTGATAGGCGGCTCAGACGAAAGATTGTTTTGATCAGACCATAGTTTTCCAGTAGTAAGTGTGTTGCTTAGGCGATCGCGAATGCTCAAACCTAGTGCACTTACTTTGGCTCGGTCACTTGGGCAGAACGAGCTCACTCAAATGTGCGGTTCAGGGTTCCGTTTTCTGTCTACCATAAGGCAGACTGAAGCCCAGGGGTGGTTGATTGCCCCAAAAGGAAGCCTTTGGGTTTAAGTCTACCCCAAGGTACGGGGGTTTCTAGTGTCAGTGGGGGCATCATCTAGGTCCTCCATTACTGCCCTTTTACCCTTTTTTGGAGGAGGGTTCCCTGACTAAAATACACTACAGAACAAAAGGGTACCCTTATTCTAACCTCTTTACTGGAGGACCTAGTCACAGAACTCAGTGCGCTGTGCGAGACAGTGACCTAGCCCGGCAGGTCTCCTGAGCGGGATATTGCGTGCTTGGCCTAAGAGCCTCAAGAGCCTCAAGGGCACACCTCAGGAACACCTCAGGAACACCTTCGCGGTTGTCTCTAGCATAAAACTGTCCTTCCTCTTTGTAAGGTACATTGTTACATGTCAGCTTCTTTGAGTGTTGGTGTGCCGCACACCTAAACTGAACCTGCATCTGGACCGGCCTTGCTCATGGCCAGAGCCTGGTGGTTGGTGTGGATCCCGGCTAACGCCATTCTCTTTTGGAAGACGCCACAAGGCGAAACCTTCCAGGACATCCACAAGGGAACATCGCCGGGGATGCACCACTTCTGCCACAGCTTCCTGCACTCCTTCGGCAATCGCCTTAGGAACATTCAGGAACCCATCGGCGTGTCGCCAGCGCAGGTAGATTGAGCGCCGAACATTAAAAAGGGTCGCGGGCTCGGGTGCTCCACTTGGAGCGGTGACGGTCTTGTCTTTTTTAGCACCTTGAGCAAAGAGAGGCTAGCAATTCCCAAAGTGGTCAGGGAGAAGAGGGCCAGGAATAGATGTAGAGCACATGCTGCCACTCCTTGTCTCGAGTCGCCCCACTTTGGAAAGCAGCCTCGAAGCCTGCATGTTGCTAGCCGAATCTTGAACTGCTTCTTACTTTCAAGTTCATACGCCTATGTGACCATAATTGGCGAACCAGCCACAGCACACTTTTTGACTCTTCCGTGTTGATAGATCATGACCGTGTTTCACACATATTTGAATCAAGAAAGCTTTTGAGAACTTGGGCAAGCCTTTAATTAGTCTAGTGGAACACCAGAGACATGATTTCCCTTCTGATACCTTCCATTTGCTGAAGGCGTTCTTTGTTTCTCCCTTTTTTGTTCAAGTGGAACTCGTCATGGTTGACAGACGTGTTGTTGTTTAGTGGAACCTCCAGCAGATGGAGGAACCCGACACCGTTGGGGTACGGCAATGGGTCCAAAGCCTGTTAAACATGAGGAGCGAAGAGCATGAATCTGTGGGCCCCTTTGGAAGATCTCCCAGGTGTTCTTGTAGCCGTTCAGGCGAGCTTGGATGCCTTGGGCGTGTGTCCTGGGCGTTGAAAGTACAATGTGCTGAAAGGACGCAGGGGTTTCAACCACCAACTTAGGTGTCCCACCATTTGGACTGCGAGTTTTACGCGTCACAATTGGTTTTGCGTGCAACCTCACCCAGATGAACTGGTTCCTTTCGCACGGGAGTCTCTTTTTTGGTGAGTGAATTATCATTATGATAATTGATGACTATTAAGAATGTTATTGTTATTGTTATGATTAATATTACTAGTTCCATCATCATTATTATTGTTCACGAAGCTTGCTTCCAGGCGGATGTTGCTCCTTGGCATGTGTGGCATTTGAACACTTGGGATGGTCGAACCGTTCCAGCCCTTGCTTTTTGTTGTTTTCCACAGACAAGCCAGCAGGTTCACCGAGAGATGCATGGATCCTTTTGAGTAACTTGGAGCGATGCTTGCATTGCATCCATCAGGGAGGCTGATCCGGGTGAGCAACTATGAATGTCTAAATGGCTGCCAGCGAAAACTGCCGAATATCATAGAAAAGTGCGACAAGTATCAGCGCTTTTTCATCGCACAATGCGGGTGATCCGGGCGCGGATCTCGGCACATAGCCTCAGGGGGTTTTGGTTTGCAACCTCACCCATGCAATCGCCTTTCCTCTTTTACAGTCCTGCAGGCATGATGAAACAATATGAAAACTCGGATACGCCCCCTACTACAGTGCAATGTTCAGTCCATCCACAGAGAATCCTTATTTGGGGTGGGCGAATCGTTGCAAGTCACTCAGACCCGTGGGTTGTAATCCCCAGCTGGGGGCGGACTCACGAGTCGAGCAGGATTACTCTACCTACCGCAATGCCAAGCTTTACATGTTCGCGCCTTCGCCGAGTACGCAGAGGGCCCCAGTCTGATTGGGATTCGCATTGCCACAGGACTGCTGCAATCGGATGTGGGTCTCACCCTTGCTTGCTTGCTTGCTTGCTTGCTTGCTTGCTTGCTTGCTGGCTTGCTGGCTTGCTGGCTTGCTGGCTTGCTGGCTTGCTGGCTTGCTGGCTTGCTGGCTTGCTGGCTTGCTGGCTTGCTGGCTTGCTGGCTTGCTGCTGGCTTGCTGGCTTGCTGGCTTGCTGCTGGCTTGCTGGCTTGCTGGCTTGCTGGCTTGCTGGCTTGCTGGCTTGCTGGCTTGCTGGCTTGCTGGCTTGCTGGCTTGCTGGCTTGCTGGCCTGCTGGCCTGCTGGCTTGCTGGCTTGCTGGCTTGCTGGCTGGCTTGCTGGCTTGCTTGCTGGCTTGCTTGCTTGCTGGCTTGCTGGCTTGCTGGCTTGCTGGCTTGCTGGCTTGCTGGCTTGCTGGCTTGCTGGCTTGCTGGCTTGCTGGCTTGCTGGCTTCTGGCTTGCTTGCTGGCTTGCTGGCTTGCTGGCTTGCTTGCTTGCGTGCTGGCTATTGCTGGCTATTGCTGGCTATTGCTGGCTATTGCTGGCTATTGCGCGCGTGCGTGCGTTCGTGCTTGCTTGCTTGCTTGCTCGTGCGTGCGTGCGTGCGTGCTTGCTTGCTTGCTGCTTGCTTGCTTTGTTCCGTGCCAATGTCAACCCCAAATTAATCCACACCGGTTTCTTAAGGTCGGGGTGTTCCCCTCCAACCGTGATGATTCATTCCCCGCTAAACCCAAGGACACCCCCCTGTGAATAAACCGGGCTTTCCTTTCTCGGGGAGTCAACATTAGTTCGCTTGTGCGCTTGCTTGATTGGTGAGTTGGTTGTTTGGGTCACGTTGTGCTGCACCTTCACGGCTGCGTAGCTCCTTTTGAAACCAAAAGAAGGCACGCCCCCGCACTGAAAGCCCAGACGACCTTCAGCGGTGCGCTGCTTTTTGGTTCCCCAAAATATCAGCCGTTTTTGGGCCTAGAAAAGTGGCAGTCTCATGGGAACCCGAGTTGCCTCTTTTGAAGGCCTTCTTCAAGCCGAAAGATTGGTGCTCTTTTTGCCAATGGCCGGATGCACGTCAAGTGACCGCGAACCAGTGGCTCTGGAGAATCGGGCCCTCACTTTCTACGAATCCCCGTTCAAAAGGATAAAGTTTTTCTGCGAACAACCCAGATGAGCGTCTATCAAAACCTCTGGAAGACCAATATGTAAAGGGCTGGACATACCAACATGTGCAGTAGAACGTGCCAAAAGCATGTGAAACGATCGGGTTACAGGAAAAAAACCAACTGAACATGGTTTTGTGCGCGGGGCCCCTTATGGAAATGAGCAGCTGAGTGTATTTCCTTTACTACACTTGTACTGAAAAGTTGCGCCTTTCGAGAGCCAAAGTGTACTTCCTTTACTACACTTGGAGCCGGAGCTGCCAAGGTGCACTTCCTTTACTATACACTTATACTGAAAAGTTGCGACTTTTGAGCCGGAGCTTTACAGCGTACTTCCTTTGCTACACTTGTACTGAAAAATTGCGGCTTTCGAGCCGGAGCTGCCAAAGTGCACTTTCTTTCCTACACTTCTACTGAAAGTTGCGACTTTCGAGCCGGAGCTGCCACGGTGTACTTCCTTCACTACAATTGTACTGAAAAGTTGCGACTGTTGAGCTGGAGCTGCCAAAGTGTGCTTCCTTTACTACACTTGTACTGAAAAATTGCGGCTTTCGAGCCGGAGCTGCCAAAGTGCACTTCCTTTCCTACACTTGTACTGAAAGTTGCGACTTTCGAGCCGGAGCTGCCACGGTGTACTTCCTTTACCAAAATTGTACTGAACAGTTGCGACGACTTATGAGCTGGCAAAGTGTACTTCGATTTCACCTGAAGCGGCGCAATGCGCAAAACCAGGTAAAACGATAGGGTTACAGAAAAAACAATAACCTCTGCCCGATGTCCTTTTGCTACACAAGAGGTTTCGCAAGTTGCTCTAGCAGCCAGCCATCAGGAATCCATGCAACTAAGGACTCCCTTGCAGGGCAGCATGGACACGCCCTCTGCGTGGGTGCTTATGGGGTTGGGCCAGAAAACAGTGACAGGGCAGGTTGGATGAAGGACCTGGTTGCTTTCTTCAGTGATTTATTTGGGGCAGCCCCGTTTTGTGTGGGCAACCCCCGGTGTTTGTAATTCTTGGCTGGCGGACATCGAGGGCATTGCTTTGACCCATGTCTTCCGTCCTCGGCTTCAGACATCTCACATTTGGGCCCGGTCAGCGACGCCCATAGTACAAGAATTCATTTGAGCACTTTTCCCTTGAAGTAAAACCATGCCCAAATACATATGACAAATAATACGCTAAATAATTGTGTTTGTTTTTTCTCCATCTGTGTTGGGAGAAATTAATGTTGAATTGGCAAACGTTCATTGCCCAATAGTCGTGAATGGTTTCATAGCTAGCTGTATCCTTAACGCCGTTTGGGCTGCATTTTAGCCAAGGCGGGGTTAGGGCACCCTTTTCTGCCGAAACTAAGCAGGTAAGATGTTAGATGGGTTTCTCAAAGGATTATCTGAATTCCGAGTGGTCTTTCTGAGACACCTGGCTGGTTTTCTAAGGTTTTTCCGAACCTTGAAGATTGGTGTGCTGCAACTCGTACACTTGAATCCGTCATGTGTATTGCTTGGAGTTGTGCATTAGGACAACATCGTCCTTGAATATAGTGTACAGCTGCAGTTTGTGGCCTGTGCAGAAGCTGCTTCCTTGCAGGGCTCACCAAGAATGCAGCAACCATTGATTTTCTGTGACAACACTGACCTGCCCTTGACTTACTCGTGTGCTGACAGGATGTGTCTTCCTAGCCCATCCTAAAATAGTGACTGCGAGATGTTCCTGGTCTACTGGAGCAAAGGGGATAGGGCACACTCGACAAAATATAGTTAGGATTCGGGGTTGCTCTTCCTTCCAGTCAAGGCTCCAACCATGCCAACTCCGCAAATCGACAATCCCGGGCCCCATGACGAGAATCCACCTGGGGATTGATTCACAAGCTCTTGAATTCAGGTGATGAACAGTGGTCGCATATTATATACATAAATAGATGACACAAATACTCCTGTCTTTCAATCATTGAAGCACGTCCGCGTTTGGGACAATTCCCGGCTGACATGGCTGCCGAGATGACCTCCCACGGCATGCCAGAGGACCTTCAGGAGAACCATTCCGAGTTTTGGACCCCAAACGAGGGCCAGGCGTCCTACTTCGATCTGGGCGTAAGGGGTTACGAAAGGGGGGTTGCTAAAAACCTGGCCTGTACGGACTTACCAGGGTTACGAAAGGCGCCCTTTGTTCTGAGGGGCAATATGCATTATGGATTAGGATTGGCGACACTCCATTTTGAACAGCCCAGTGAATGGAATGCCCTAATTAGACGGGGGGTTGTGCGGGCTTGGATGGGGCAGCAGGAATCGTAGGGTTCCTTGGTTTGAAGGAGAAGCCAAATGCCAACCAAGATACCCCGCCCCTTGTGCCTTCCGCTATTGAGAGTTTCAGAATGTTTGGGCTCCTTTAGATAGGGGGAGAGCAGTTGATGTTGTTTAGACGCCCGGTGATTATTGTCCCAATCCAAAGCTTTTGCATTCCGGCCCAAAAAAGCCATGTGTGTTGGCACTTTACCATGTGGAGGGGTGGTGTTTTCGACGCATTTTACCTGGCTCCGGAAGGCGTCGTGAGCTAAATATCTCACTTGGGCTTAGGGATGGTCCTGCGGCTTCTGACAACTATCAGGACTCTGGGAAACTTGCTGGTTCGAGGCAGGGAATGAGGGAATGACCCCTCTAAACCATCCAACTGGTGGTTTCCTCTATAGGTTCATTCCCAAAACCCTGAGCATCAGCAAGATGAACTCCCATTTGCGCATGAATGGCCACTTCGAACAATTGCGTGCGAAAGAAGGCAAGCGCGGCATTGGGGAATTGATGCCTGGCAACAATCTCCACAAGTCGAATGTGTGACGGCTTTTGCCTGAGCAAGTGCAGCGGAGCTTGGGAGGTCTGAGCAATGAAGAGAGGATGGCATTGGGTGCTCTCACTGGAGCTGTGGATTGCCGGCCAAATCAACTGCAAAATGCATGTGAGAGGCATCATTCTTACATCGCATCTTAATTTGCGTGGCATACTTGATCAGGCGTCGCATGGGTGGATCAATGGGGAAATCAGCAACACTTGTGTTCTGACAAGACATTTGGGTATAAAATATATATATATATGTATGTATAATAGTTCGGCTGAACCTTGGTACATGTCACAAAATACACAAGACGGCGCCAAGACAGAAATTGAGAGCCATGAATTGAGAGCCATGAGTGGCACCAGCGGTTGAACTTGGGAGAAACGGTATTGGAGTGGGCGAAGGAAAACGACGTGGCCACATTTGGGTGTGTCATTTTTAGGGGACCCCGGGGACCCCGCTAAATGATGGGTTTTCCTTTTGCTTATGACTAGCCAAAAGGGGGTTCCCTACAAGAAGACATACCCATTTGCAGCCTGAGAAGAGATGGATGGGCGCCTCCGTACCGGAGTGCGAGCGAAGTTCTGGATACGCTTGTTGCGGTCATGCTCCCTGCGGTTGTGCAGTGGAGAAAAAAAACATGGTAGCATCTTCAGTGGCTTCATGGGTCGGCCATTTCCAGGGTTTGGTTGGCTAAGGAGGCTTCCTGGTATAGTGGCGCCCATTTTGCCAGCCCAACATACGACGATGGAGGCTCAGAACTCTAAAACTTTCCTTTCCTGGCCTTATTCACCAAACACCGTTTCTGGCCATGTTACCATGGCCTTCTTTCCACGCCAGGACCTGCTTCCGCCCGCCGCCATGGACACGGACGCCGCTTTCGACACCTTGCCGCCCGCGGCGGTGGATACCGAGGCCTGGGGGTCGAGCGGGTTCGAGAGGACTCCGGGAAACCGGTGGATCGATCCCAGGCGTGTCGCCCTTGTAGGTAACTTTGTGTAGGTAACCTTCTTGTAGGGTAACCCCCTTGTAGTAGGTAGCCCCCTTGTAGTAGGTAGCCCCCTTGTAGTAGGTAGCCCCCTTGTAGTAGGTAGCCCTTCGATCCATCTTTTGGTTGTTAGTGGGTGGCAAGCCCTTGGAGACCTATACAGGCAAATGGATCCACTTGGTGTTGGGTTCCCCCAAACAGGGCAACTTCAATTTTCCTCGAGATGCAGAACCCAAACTTGCCAGAGGCTTCGGACAGAGGGGCTGGTTTGCCAACTGCCTTGCCTGTGAGCCAAAGAAGGCTAAGATTGTCAGTGGTTGGAGCACACTCAAAAGCTGCAGGTATTCCTGAAGTCAACAGAAATAGGGTCCGAGCCGAGCACCCAAAGTTCATACCCTAAAGTTCTTCTAACGTGCACGCGGGAAGTCCCCAGCTCCGCGACTCCACCTTGCTCCGAGGCCGAGCCACCGGTGCTGGGGCAGCCCAGATGGCTGGAAGTACGCCCATTTTAACGGTCCCCTAGAGAACGGGCAGCATCCGACTTCTTCCAAGCCTGGTGAATGGCGGGAAATCACAGGTCTTCCAAGTTGTTGCGTGCTTGCAATGCTTATTGCAACTACTACAGTTGTGGATGTGTCCTTTGCAAAAGGATAGGCGTGCAAGTGATACAGACGTGGTTTCGAACATCCCCAGATTGGGGCTGTAGAGGTTTGTGGGCAAGAGCTGGGGAACATTCAACACGATGCGTGCGCCTAGTTTTAAGGTTATTTGCCGTCATATACTCCTAATGTGCTACTTAGCTGGGGGTAACCCAGGGCTATGGCCAGGGGCTCGCATGCAACTTCGAGGCTATCAACCCACAGCTTTCAAAAGCATTGGCATTCAAGTAGCGAGCCTTCCGTCTTTCAGACCGTGTCCTCGCCTTCATGGGGCACAAGGAGGAGCAGAGCGGGCAGGAGCTGGTGGAGCAGGAGAGAGCGACTCTGTCGCACGAAGGTGGCCGGCCACTGCCGTTCAGCCTGGAGCTGTTCAGGAACTTTGACCAATCTTCAGTCGTAGTGGAGCCCGTCGAGCCGCTTGACAGCCAATTCGGCCGCTACGGGGGGCGCTGCTTCCTGCTGCACAACGTGCTCACAGCCGAGGAGTGTGCCCTTCTGAGCCAGGAGATGAGCGGCCAGATGAGCCCGGTGAAGGTTCGGAACGACTACCGCCGCAACGACCGCGCCATCTTCGACTCGCCCGAGCTGGCCGAGGTGATGTGGGAGCGCGTGAGGCCAGTTGCCTCGGGCCTTGAGCTGCTCGTCGATAAGCAGCCAGGCAAGCAGCGCCTGCTGTCGGCGGAGGCTGGGGAGGATGACTGCCCGGATGAGCTGCGGCTCGGCTATGGCAAGGAGGGCATCTGGCGACCTGTCGGCCTCAACGAGTCACTCCGCTTCTGCCGCTACACCGCCGGCGGCTTCTTCCGCCCGCACTGCGATGGCTGCTTCCGTCGCAATCAGGACGAGCAGTCGCTCTTCACTTGCATGTTCTACTTGGATGGCGACCTGGAAGGTGGCGAGACGCGCTTCCTGCGCATCGACGCCCGCCTGACTGACCAGAACTACCTGAAGCCTGCAGCTGAGGACCAGGTAGTTGCCTCCATCCCACCAGAGCGAGGGCTCTGCATCCTCTTCTTTCAGCCCGGGCTGCTGCACGAGGGCCTGGACCTGCAGAGCGGCACGAAGCACATCCTCCGCACCGACGTCATGTTCCGCCGCGACCCCGACAGCAAGCCGCCGCAGACCGCCGCGCAGCGGGAGGCCCTGGAGCTGGTGGAGAGGGCACAGGAGGCCGAGGCGAATCACCAGTGCGACCTCGCGGCCGGTCTCTACCGCCGGGCCTTCAAACTGGACCCCCAGCTGGAGCGCCTCTTCTGAGGTGGCTGACACCTCGGCTCCATGTACAGGAACGAGCCGAAAACGAATGGTCCAATTGGGAGATCGACTTCATCTAATCTGCTAGCAAAAAGTCCTGACTTGTACAGTACTGAGAAATGAGCCGAAAAAAGGAAGGTCCCAAGGGAGCTCAAGCAACTAGATTGGAGCTGTGCTCCAAATGCTCCAGCTCATTATGCGATAAATATGTTTGTGTTAGCTGTCTTTTCTCAAGAGCATGGGCAGAGCTATTGAAATATTGAACATCCAACTGTAAAAAGACCTGAGTAGCTGAAAGCTGCATACATCAGCGATATCTTGCGTTTTTTTTTTTTTTTTTTAATGATTTCATATGCATGGCAAGCTGTGCTTGCCACACTTACGTGTTTCAGAATTGCAACACAACAATAATATTTGTCCCCCTACATACATCTGCTTGCAGATTGCTAAGCATACGTCTTCCAAAATATTGCATACGTATGCAAATTGTGTTGAAGATGTGTGCCAAACATACGTCTTCCAAAAGTTAGCACCCTGAGGTCTATAAACTTGGCATGCGTAAGCGTGCCACTTCTCCAAAAATAAGCTACAGACACACGTTTGCTAAACATTTGTGTCCAACAATGATATTTGTGCAAAATAGTTCTCGACAGGCTGTCTTCTGTGTAGCTTGAAGCTAGCTCATTTTCCAGGAGTCTTCATTGGCAAAAAAACAAAAACGCACCCCAACTCCGCGCAATGGCGGGAATCCGAATGCTCACCGGTGGTGTTCTCCCTCGAAGGTGTTGCCCTGGCTCAGGTCTGATCAGCTCTCTGCCAATGCTGCCCCCTGGCTTGGCGTCCCAGATGCGCAGATGCGGGGCTCAGGGGCGGTTTTCCGCAAACGGTCTGAGGGTGTGACGGGGTTTGTTGCTAGGTCCCAGTAGTGCCCTTTTACTTTTACCCTTTTTCGGGGGAGGGCTTCCCTAAAATAGACCACAGAAAAAAGGGTGCCCTTATTCTAACCTCTCTTTTGGCTTTGGAGTTGGGTTGGTGGGCTTGGGATGGGTTGGGATATGAATGGGGTTGGGGACTGAAGACCAACTCAATCAGCGGGGAAATCACGAGTGCCAAAGTTCCGCACTCGAACTTGCCCAAGAGATCCCGTTTGAGATTGGGGAAGAAAAAAAACACGCATGAGCTGCGTGTGACATATTTCAGGTTTAGGGATGGTCCCAACCCAAGCTTGAAGTTGTCTCATTGTTTCCGGCCGTGGGCTTCTTCTGTAGGGCACTTTTAGATGCGGAACCTTCAGATGCAGACATTTAGTCCTTTTCCAAGTTCTGAACATGTTATCGTTTTCAACTTTTGGCTTCAAGGTGTTGGCTCTAGGTCCTTGCCCTCCTAAGGGGCCTTCAGGCTGAACTGGTGGCTGGGAGACCAGCCAGTGGCAAAATGGTTCATGAGTCCGTCACTTGCCTCTATAAATAGGTCCACCCCTATCAAGAACTATGATTGTCCAGGCAAAAGCCCAAAAGTCACCTCGCCCGTAATTGACCCAAAATCCAATACGAGCTTCTGACAGCCTTGACTACGGACCCCTTACACCCTATTTATATATGTGTTCCTCGATCAGTTAACGGGGGTGGTCCGGCGAGAAGCAGTAGTGGGGGGAATCGAATTTGCCGGATCACTCACTCCTTTGCGTACAGTACCTGAATGGCATGTTTCATGCCTGTGTATTCCAATGTGTGCTCAAAGCTGTTCTGAAAAATGCAGGACTCATTGTAGTCATTGTCGTGTTTGCGTGGGTGTGCATTTGTTGTTGTTTCGTTCTTTGGTTTTTGCTTGGTTTCGAGGGGAACTCCTGAAACTGGTGGTTTCCTGGCGCCTGTCCGCTAAACCAACCCCAACCAGGGCGCACGGCGGCCCAGAACAATGTCCAAGCAAGCAAGACACCTCTGAAGGTCAGTGTAAACTACGAGGGTTTTGTGGTCGACGCGTTGGCAGCCCGCGTTTGGCGACTCCGTCAAAGGCATCCGCCTATCGCGATTTGGTGCGTCGACCGCAGGCAGCCTTGATGGGCTTTCAGGCTGGAACTGACCTGCGTATTTCACTGTGGATGGACAAAATCCTGCACCAAATTCAAACCATGGGAATCATCATCCCATGGTTTCTTAGGTGGTGCAGGATTGCGTCCATCCACAGTAATGCTGGTGCTGGTAGCACTGTAAATACGCCAGACGCTGAGTCATCTGGGGAAGCGAGGTGTTGGCTCATGTGCGGCGCTTCCCTGGGGCACCCACAAAAGTGACTATGTACAGGTTTGTGTCGGAATAGGGGGACCCCCAAAATGGATTTGTGTTTCATGGACCATCTGGAGTTTTGCAAGTGTCCGTCGCGCATGGGCAGCGTGCGTTTCGTCGTTGTTTGCTGTGCTTAATGTTGAACAAGGTCGTTGCTGCCAAACTTGCGCCAGGGTACAACTGGTTTTGCTTAGCCGCAACCGTTCGGGTTTACTGTGGTGCCCTGCCCGGGTTCGTGATCAGGGAATCGTTTCTCATCAGCGGCTCTGGGGCAGAGATAGATCTTTGAGGGGATTAGACAGTCATAAGTTTCCTTGTGCTTGTTTGGATCCAGCACGGGACGCTCGCCAGGCATGTTGGAATTGATGCATATTCCTGCTCATATGTCCAAATGTGAATTTGAAAAGTAGGACAATATGCAAGTAAAGAAATATGTGTTTTTTTGTAAATTCATTGATATTAATGATTGAACATATATGTAAAATATGTGTCATGGTTTGATAATAATGAATTTATTTAATATTAAATACATATTTTGTTGTTTTTGGTATTTGATTTAGGTTTTTAGTTTTGTTGTTTTTGGTGGCATCTATCCCATCCAACGATGAGTGGACGCTGGCCACCAACCTGCAATCCCGACTTCGCAAAATCGTGCTCCGCTGCCTGGATCGAGTGGACCTGGCAGATTTGCGCGTTGCGCCGGTGCTGCAATGCTTGCAGTCACTGCTCCAAAGGTTTCAGGAGCTTGTCACCGGTCAAAGCAGGATCGCTTGCAAGAAGCAATGGGCTCGGCTTCAAGCCAAGTGTGCGAGCACTGTGCCACGCGAAGCAGCAGCAAGCTTCTCAGCATGTGCAAAGGGAGCCGAAGATTGTGCTGGCGTTGCCAAGCGCGAGTCTTCAGCATCATGCCCCCATGGCAAGCTGAGACGAAGCTGCGCTCAATGCAGAGGCTGTCCGCATGGCAAGTGGCCTCAAAATTGTCTGCGATGCAGTGTCTGCCCGCACGGAATTGTCAAGCGCAACTGCTCGGAATGCACACCCTGTCCACATGGCAAGGTCAAGTATGATTGTACGCAATGCACTGGATGTCCGCACGCTAAGCGCAAAAAGCACTGCCTGCAGTGTGGCGCATGCGCGCACGGCAGGATCAAGCAAAACTGCATAGAATGCAGCGCATGCCCGCACGGAAAAATCACACGCAACTGCTTGCAGTGCAGCGGATGCCCACATGGCAAGCTCAAGCAGAATTGCTTGCGGTGCAGCGCATGCCCACATGGCAAGATCAGGACCAGCTGCGTGCAGTGCAGCGCATGCCCGCACGGAAATGTCAAGCGCAACTGCGTGCAGTGCAGCGCATGCCCACATGGAAAGATCAAGCAGAATTGCTTGCAGTGCAGCGCATGCCCACATGGCAAGATTAAGAAGAACTGCGTGCAGTGCAGCGCATGCCCGCACGGCAAGCTGAAGAGGAACTGTCGTATGTGTGCCGAAGCAAGGGGAAAAGAGAACTGCGCGCCGCCAAGCTAGATTTTCAATTGTTTGGCTATTGCAAAGTAGGCTGGGTCGAGGTGATCCAGCTTTTGGTGACTAAAGAGATTGGGCGGCTAGTCATTTCCTGATGGGCGCAAAGACAGGCATGACTCCGGCTTTGGGTGGTGCCAAAACCATGAAGCTTCCGGTTGGACCAAGGCGTCCATTTGTAGGTTTAAAACAGTGGAAGCCTGGGCTCTCCTGTTTCCCTTTGTGCCCTTGACCCCTTTTACGAGGGGACGCAATGGCACCGTCCGGTGCCATGGACACTAAGAGCTTTTTTTGCAGCCCAAAGCCCTGAAGGAGCTGCATTTGCCAGGAGATTAGACGCGCCAGGCCTGTGGGAAATGCGGATTGAGGCCAGCCCACTTCTTATTTCGGAATCACTCTCGGTATTTGCAGGCCTATGACAGCGGTATCATCCGAGGAAGTGAAACACAACCCAAAACACACATTCATTGCATGTACCATTTGGCATTTTAGAATTATTGGCATTCAGCAGATTCGTCAAATAAAAAGTTCTCAATCATGCTTTACCAGCTTTGGGGGTTCCAACTGACGCTCTGGCAAAGCAGCAGTCTCGTGTTGATCAATCCTGTTTATATTCAGTCAAGAACGGAGCATTGCCAGTATCCTTTTGTCCCAGGAAGCCCAGCTCCGACCCCAAGCACTTTCCGCTTTGTTGATTTCCAGGCTTTCTGCAGCCATTGCATCGAGGGACTGGGCCCCCCTTCCTTCTTGCGTGGCAGCTGTGTCACATGTGCTCTGTGGCATGGCTTTGGCTTTGACTACCGTTTGCCTTGAAGATGAGCTGGCAGCGATGCCTGCACCATGGCGTGACCGAGTGCAGCACCATGCTCGGCGCTTTCACGAGAAGGATGCCACAACGGTCCTTAATCGCTACGAGCAGCAGAGGAGAATCATGAGCCGGCCGCAGCTCGAAAGGCATGCCTTTCATGTGGCATCCTGGCTGGTGCATCCAGAGGTGAGAAGAAGCCATGGCGATTCCGTGGAGGCACTGCTGTGCAGGTACTTGGAGTCGTTGGATGGGCAGCCACTTTGCGAGCGCCTGAAAGTGGTTCTGTCACTTGTCTCGGCAAGTTCGGGAGTTGCAGGGCTCTCGGGGTCGCTGGGCGAAGGGCAGAAGAGAAGGGCGGAGATGATGCAGGCAGACGAGCTGGAAAAGCCGGATTCCAGCAAGCCAGTTGATGCCTGCAAGGACAAGGCTGTGCGCCTGATGCAGAAGGCCAGCCAAACGTGGCAGAACCAGCCGTCCGAGTGCCGGGAAGCGTACGTGGAGTCTCTGGAGCAGGAGATGCAAGAGACCGACGGAGCTGAGAACTCGGCCAAGCTGCGCATGGTCCTGTGCCGAGCCGTAGCTGCGCTTTCCCCGCCACGGCGTTTGGGTGATGGATGCGAGGGTAAGATGATGGCATCTATCCCATCCAACGATGAGTGGACGCTGGCCACCAACCTGCAATCCCGACTTCGCAAAATCGTGCTCCGCTGCCTGGATCGAGTGGACCTGGCAGATTTGCGCGTTGCGCCGGTGCTGCAATGCTTGCAGTCACTGCTCCAAAGGTTTCAGGAGCTTGTCACCGGTCAAAGCAGGATCGCTTGCAAGAAGCAATGGGCTCGGCTTCAAGCCAAGTGTGCGAGCACTGTGCCACCCGAAGCAGCAGCAAGCTTGTCAGCATGTGCAAAGGGAGCCGAAGATTGTGCTGGCATTGCCAAGCGCAAGTCATCAGCATCATGCCCCCATGGCAAGCTGAGACGAAGCTGCGCTCAATGCAGCGGCTGCCCGCACGGAATTGTCAAGCGCAACTGCTCGGAATGCGCATCCTGTCCACATGGCAAGGTCAAGTATGATTGTACGCAATGCACTGGATGTCCGCACGGTAAGCGCAAAAGGCACTGCCTGCAGTGTGGCGCATGCGCGCACGGAAAGGTCAAGCAAAACTGCATAGAATGCAGCGCATGCCCGCACGGAAAAATCACACGCAACTGCTTGCAGTGCTGCGGATGCCCACATGGCAAGCTCAAGCAGAATTGCTTGCAGTGCAGCGCATGCCCACATGGCAAGATCAAGACCAGCTGCGTGCAGTGCAGCGCATGCCCGCACGGCAAGCTGAAGAGGAACTGTCGTATGTGTGCCGAAGCAAGGGGAATAGAGAACTGCGCGCCGCCAAGCTAGATTTTCAATTGTTTGGCTGTTGCAAAGTAGGCTGGGTCGAGGTGATCCAGCTTTTGGTGACTGAAGAGATTGGGCGGCTAGTCATTTCCTGATGGGCGCAAAGGCGGATGCGGTTCTGAAGAATTCTTCTTGGCTTCGGACTCGTCGTTGGCGCCGAAGGTGCGCGGGCTGGGCGTTAAGTGAAAGGCTCTTTGCGAGTTTTGGGTTTCCACAACATCAAATCCCTTCAAAGGCAGACCACCTGCCGGTTAGGCTTGACGCTCCTGCAAAACAGCACGTGTTGATTAGTCTTGTTTTCAGCTGCAAATCAGCATATGTTGATTAATCTTGTTTTCATTCAGTTAAGAACGGAACATTGCCAATATTCTTTTGACTCAGGAAGCCTAGCTCCGACCCTAAACACTTTCCGTTTTGTTGATTTCCAGGCGGCTATTATTGTAGTCATTTTATCGAGGGATTGTTTGGTTTGTTATTGGTTTGTTATGATATTTAAAATATTGGATATTTGAAAGAAAATTATAGATATAATATATTAGTATTATAATTATTATTATTTTATATGTAATTTTAAATTTACGAAATATAAATAAAACTATTTAAATTATATTATAAAATAATTTAGAAATTCCAAATTATTATATATATATTATTTGGCAATTTAATATTAAATTTATAAATTATTTTTGATTAATATATATATGTTAATTTAAAATACATGATTTAAAAATAATTTAAATTTTATAAAATTATTATTAAATTTTAATATAAATAAATTATTATTATATATAGATGTATTTTATTATTTTTTGTTTTGTTTAAAATTACCTAAATTATTATTTATGATATTTGTAATTTTTATTAAATTCAAATTTTGTGATTTTTGTAATTTATTTTTTTAAAGATATAATTTTATTAAGTTATTTTAGATATAATGGCTTATATATTTAAATTTGAGGTTTTAGGATATATTTTGGAAATTTATGATTGTTTTTTAAATGTTTTTTATATTTTGGTTGTTTTTTGTAATTAAAGCTTGTTTTTTGTGTTTGTAATGAGCTATGATATGGTATGTGATGGATTATTTATGTTGTTTTTACATTTAGATTTTACAAAATATATTTTACCTTTATATGTCTTTGATATAACAATTTTGGTATGAACATAATGGTTTATAATATATGCAAAAATAACATGAAAATACCGTGAAATTGGCATGAATGTTTGTTTTCTAACGTGAAAGCACGTTTTTGTTATGAATTTTGATACTAATGAATCTATGCTATGTGTTTTAATCTTTTGATAATTCCTCTATTTGTTTTATGGGAACGGAGGTTAAGTCTTTGCACATTTTGGTCCTGAGCCCCCGAATTGTTTGATGATATCAGCTGAGCTTGGCAAAATTGCTCCTGGCAAAAAACCGTCTTTCATAGAAAACATGCAAAATAAACCGCCTTTCCTTTGGAACCCCAGGGTATAGTTAATGATTTTTGCTAACGACTAATATATATTTAAAATATTTAATTTATTGGGAAGGGGTATTTAATATAATTAATATATATTTTGCTATATTTAATATAAAATTGACAAAATTATTTTGAATATTGGATTAATGATTTAATGAGATATTCGGAAGAATTTAGGATTAGGTATGTAGTATGTATTTAATATAGACATATAGAAATTGTATAGTTGTTTATCTCATTAAAATGTGTTAAGGTAGATATACAATAATTGTATATCTTGCCAATGCAATTTTAAAATAACATTGGTAGCTAATAATGTTGAGCAATGTTGAGTGCATCTTCAGTATCGGGCGTAATGGTATATGAAATGGTATGCAAATTTAGCTAAGCTTATAATATGGGGATTGTGAATTATGGCTTGATATCATTTAGGTTTAATAAAAAAGGTATTTATAAATATTTACCAAAATTAATGATTATATAAATATAGGATATTATGGGTGGATTTGAAAAAAAGAAAAAATAATTATAATAAAATTAACATAATTAATATGATTAATTATACCAATTATAATTCATTTTAGATACGCTCTTTATATTACCCAATATATTGGTCTATATAGGAATATTTTATATAGTCTAAACAAAACACATTATTTATTAATAAAACCCTTCTATATAGAGGGCATAATCTAAATTAATAAAATCGTTTAATTCAAATAATATAATTCTAGAAGGCTTAATAAGCTAAACATGCTTAATTCGGCTAACATAGGCTTTAGGAGGTCATGGCGGGGAGATTGAGGAATTTAACATTTCTTTTGCGGTCTAATAATATTATATATTAAATAATCTAAATAATATATTATATTGAAATCAGAATAATATAGAGGAATTCTAGAATAATTCTTTATATATATATATATATTATAGCTTACAAATACAAATTACATTTAACAATAAAATAACTACGCGGGCAGATACTCAATTTTAGAATCATATTTTTTCAATATAGAATAATTTTGGTAATTATTATTTAACCATTTATATACCGCGAGCCTATGCCCCCAACCAAGACAAAATATATATATATATATGATTCCCTGAACCATTATTTAACTCCAGCCATACTAACAAATTAGGCTCTCACACATATCTATTAGATCGTTGGCGATACCTATACCGTTCTAAAGCAATAAGATAAATTGCAACATGTTACTCTAAGGTTGTTTCTGCGACAACAGGTGTTCGAATCCTCTCCCTCGCATAGAAGTATTTGTACCATGACAAAAACGGCAATTTACCAATATCGGAAAAGACTCAAGATTTTGGCTTGTTCCACACCCTTTATATATATGCGTAATTATAACTTCAAGTAAAGCTAATTAACGATATCTATCTACTCGACACCAATGGGGCAGATATATTGCACTGCTAAAATATGTACCGTAAGAGTTATTATACGACATACAATTTAAGCGACATAAACCTTTTGCCAATAATTAACAATTTCTAAATATATATATTTTTTAAAAAAATAAATAAATAATGTTCGATATCATCAATCAACACATAAATATGTTTATATTCTCGAAACAATTATTTCTTTACAAAATTCATTTTTAAATCCTATAATCTTTAATATTTAATTTGTCCCAATTATCATGTAACAAACCGATCCTTCGGTGTGGGCTAGATTATGTTAAAGAAACCAATCTTTTTTATATAATCAAATTTCTAAAATTTAATAGTCTTGCCGAAGAATTAATTTCGATTTAGCTTAAAATTACCAAAAAATCCGTTAAACAATAAATTAAATCATCCAAACTTACTACAACAATTAAAACTCAACGAAATCCATTTATAAAATAATATTTCAATTACACAATTTAATTATTGAAATAATATTTGTATGGATTTATTAGTTGAAATATTTATTTTTGCCCGATATTTTTAGATTATGGAATTTTTAAAATTGATTGTTGTTAGTAATGGTGATTAAATATAATATGGATTGCTTTAGGTTTGATTTGGGCTTTATATTCGGAATAGGGTAATATAATTTTCGTGCTTAAAGCGGTACGGCGAGATTTTATATATATATTAATAGTATGTTCGAATATCTCGATTTAAATATTTAAAATGAATTAGTAATTATATTTTAGAATATTAAATTAATAATTATTTTATAAAAATCAACATATGTATATATATATATATTATATTTTTATATATTAATTATTTTTGTTCGATAATAATTAATTTTAATTTATAATAGTTTTATTAAAGGAGATAAAAACAATATATATTCGAAAATAATATTTAATAAAATAAAATAAATATAATATAATTATTCATAAATAATTAAAATTAACAACAATATATATTAATGTATTATTAAAAAAAATATATATTTGCAATTATTATTTTATAATTTCAAATATAAATATTTATTTTCGTATAAATCGATACAACCTCGAGGTCGCATTTCCCGTATACCGGCAAGCCGTTACAGCGATACTCCGGCCGAATCATCTCTTCGTACGGCCCGGAAAGTCCCGCAATTTTGCCGAAATTTCGAGGGATTCTTAATAATTTTACTTAGAATTCCCGCGATATAACCCGACCAAATTTTCCCGAATTTTGGGTCGCTTCCGACGACACGACTTAAATTTCCGAACGTCACCCCCGTAAATTTCTTCAAAATTTCAAATGTTTCCTAATCTGTTTCCGTGTGTCCGCTTTCGTACTTTCTCTGTCTATCTTTGTACATCTCTATGCATCCCAATCTATTTCTTTTTGGTGTTTACACCTCTCTCTCTCTTTCTCTCATTAAATTTGTTGGTATTTTGCTTACAAGTGCAAGTACTGTAGTGTTCAAACAAACAATCAACCGATAACGTCTGCAATTGCCAACCTTTTCATTCATGCGGAAAAGTAAGCTCAAGGCTTACGGCAATAAACATACATGCGATATAAATACAGGAAGTAAAATATATAATTTAACACGGCCCCTTAATTAAAAGGTCTTTGTAATACATGTTCAATTAAAATGCAAAACATAGATTCATAATAGTAATAAAACCCATTATTATTCATCAATTCTTCTGTATTAGCAAAAATAATGACCTATATTCAGTAATTCATGTTATTCAAATTCCAACTCGATGTAAAGCGTTGGATGGAAATAATAAGGCAAGCATTCGATATAATAGAGCATGAGTTTAAAAATGTAATCCCCATTTCTGGGCGCGATAGTCTTAAATCATCTGGAATCTATCGTCCAAAGTCGCATAGTAATGTTTAATGAAAAAGGTTATTATATAAATTGGGGTTCTCCGTAATCGTTTATCATCTATCTTAGGACACGATATGTGTTAATCGTACTCCCTAAAAAAGTGGTGTAGTGCTTTATAATATTGAATAAGGTTTATTATGGTGAGTAACGTTTCTTGCAAAATATAATAATAATTACCTTGTGCTGAAAGTCGTGTAATTAATCTCTATTGTGAAAATAGTGGAGTAATTCCGGTAGTAGTAGGGGCATGTAGTAGTTTTAAAAGTAATTATTCCTAAAGCTGTAATTATTAATGAAAGTAATCATATTATAGTTTACCTTGTAGATGGTCTGTGGAGTTGATATAGTTAGGAGGTAGTAGTTCTATTGTATAGACATCATATAAAAAAATAAAGTTTTTTGTA